TCCCATGTTTTATACATCAATTCTCCCATAGCAACCACCTCATCATAGACTTAGTGATGGATTAATTTTTTCCGATATTGCGCAATAGCCAACGTTGCAGCAGCCATCATAAATTGAACAGTTATGTTTTCAGTTCTTTGTGTTGTCTCACTAAATAATGACATATAAATATATCCTGGGTCCATAACTAAATTTTATGATATCCTTGGAAACTGTCTGGGGCAAAGCACATGTTCTAGTGAATGATGGCTCTTTTCCAGACTGAAGCCTGCTGAGGAATATTGCCAAAGCAGAAGGTGACTCAGTTATGGCTTTAAATTATGGAAACAAAATCAGATTCTCCTTGCGATGGCTGGACCTTTGGTGTGTCTTAGAATCAAAAAGTTGGAAAGGACCTTGGTCCAACCTCCCTGCCCAAGGCAAGGAGTCCTTATTGTGATCCAGAGAAATGGATGTCCTATCTTTTCTTGAAGGCCTCCAGCAATGGAGCACTCACAACTTCTGGAGGCAAGCTGTTCCGCTGATTAATTCTTCTCCATATCAGGAAATTTGTCCTTCCTTCTCAGTTGAATTTCGCTTTATAAGGAGCTTCCACTCTTTACTTCTTGTCCCACCCTCAGGTGATTTGGAGAATCAACTCCAGACCCATCTTCATTCTCCCTGGATTTAGCTAACTGGGCCTTACCAGATTGACTCTCAAGAGAATAACAGATTTGGAAGGGACCTTGGAGGTTTTCTAAGCCAACCTCCCTGCTCAAGAAGGAGATCCTATATCATTCCGGACAAATGCTTGTCCAATCTCTTCTTGAAAACCTCTAGTGATTGGGCAACCACAACTTCTGAAGGCAAGCTGTTCCACTGGTTAATTCTTCTCACCGTCTAAAAAAAAAATTCTTCCTTCCTTCTCGATTGGATCTCTCTTTTAAGGAGCTTCCACTCTTGACTTCTTGTCCTGCCTCTCAGGTGATTTGGAGAACTTGCTTGTGGTCTACTTGGATTCTGGAAGACCACGCTAGCCCAACAGTAGTTGAAATAGTCAAACAGCTCCTGACCATTCCAGCTATTCCTTTCAGTTGCAATTATTAATGTCTATATTGCTCTTGAATGGAATGGAATGGAATGGAATGGAATGGAATAGAATAGAATAGAATAGAATAGAATAGAATAGAATAGAATAGAACAGAACAGAACAGAACAGAACAGAACAGAACAGAACAGAACAGAATTGAATTCTTTATTGGCCAAGTGTGATTGGACACACAAGAAATTTGTCTTTGGTACATATGCTCTCAGGGTACATAAAAAGACAAGATACATTCATCAAGAATCATAAGGTACAACACTTAATGATAGTCATAGGGAACAAATAAGCAATCAAATCATACTAGGAAACGATCAATATAAATCGTAAGGATACCAGCAACAAAGTTACAGTCATACAGTCATAAGTGGGAGGAGATGGGTGATAGGAACGATGAGAAGACTAATAATAATAGTAATGCAGACTTAGTGAATAGTGTTGAGAGAATTATTTGTTTAGCAGAGTGATGGCGTTTGGGAAAAAACTGTCCTTGTGTCTAGTTGTTCTGGTGTGCAGTGCTCTATAGCATCAGTTGAAACAATTTATGTCCAGGATGCGAGGGGTCTGTAAATATTTTCACAGCCCTTTTTTTGACTCGTGCAGTATACAGGTCCTCAATGGAAGGCAGGTTGGTAGCCATGGTTTTTACTCTTTCTATGAACCTCCGTTCTTTCTTGCCAGGGCCTCAAAGAGTTTGGGTGAGTGATTTTTCTATATTCGCTGATGGTTAGATTTTATTGCAAGCGCTAACTGTATTTTTGAAGGGAGGCAGCCACCACACACAAACAGGAAACCTCACTCAGAGGAAGTGAGTTTCATGCCTGCTCTACTCAAAACGAATCCCTGCAGGTTTTCAGCAGCTTCCTATACCAAAGGCAACCATCCCTCACACCTGCCCCTCGCCAGATGTGTGGGTGTTAACATCCTCCCAACCCCAGATTTCCTAGTCTACTACACAGATACGGTGGAGGTTGCAAAACCGACTTGTTTGTGAGGTTCCAGGCTTTGGAGACGGTTGAGATACAGGATCCCCTTACTTAGAAGTTACTCAGAGGTGAAGCATTCACTGGAAAAAAAAACAAACGTTTTTCTGGTGCACCGCTTATTTGCTTTCTCGAGCTTCAAGGGGTGATTTTTGAATCTGCTGTGTTTCTGTGTGTGGACAAAAACCCAGTTTATTTGGCGGTGCTCTGAAGATTGAAAAATGCAGAGAGGTGCTAATTACCTCAGCAGGAACCTTTGTAATTGGACTGCTATAATTGGATATATTTTTTCAGTAACTGCACCTTACAGCAAGCTTCCTGGCTAGCAGGGAAAATCATACCAGCTTTTTCTTTCTCTCTCCCCCCACCCCCTCATCAGTTACTTCTACAGCTCTTTTTTTGCCTTTTTTTTTTAATTTAAAAACAAACTTTATTAAACTTAAAAAGATAAAATACAGTAGTATATACAGAATACATTTATATTAATCCAAACAACATTACTTACTCACAGCAAAAGATAGAAAAACAAAACGAAACAAAATTAAAAAGAAAAAGAAGAAAAGAAGAGAGAAGAAAAAAAAGAAAGAAAAAGGAAAAACAACAAACAAAATATAGAAAGTGACTTTGTCACTTTATCACATCCTTTATCTTGTTGAAGGTGCCTGTTTGTTAATTTTGTTGTCTTAGCTAATTTTACATTTACTCTCCTTTCTTTTGATTTATCCAATCGTACCATCTATTCCACGCCGTATAGTATTTTGAGTCTACCTTATCTTTTAACTCAAATGTTAATTTATCCATTTCAGCACAATTGTAAATTTTTGGGATTATTAGGTGATCTGTTGGCAATTGATCCGTTTTCCAATATTGAGCTAATGCCAATCTAGCTGCCGTAATTATATGTAATATTAAATATTTTATTTCTTTCCTATAGTTTTCTTTGATCATACCTAATAGAAAAATTTCTGGTTTAAACTCTGTTTTCTCTGCTGTTATTTCTGTTAGCCATGTTTTTATGTAGAAGTAACCCATCAGTTACTTCTACAGCTCTTTTTTTGTTGTTTTGTTTTGATTTTCCCTGCAGAATTGAATGATGAACTTTTGGCAGACAGAAAGGGAAGGAATTTAGGGTTGGGCATTGGGAGATCCAATACTCTAAAGCCATGTTTCCCAACCTTGGTGACTGGAAGATGGATGGACTTCAATTCCCAGAATTCTCCAGCCAGCTTGGCTGGGGGATTCTGGGAGTTGTAGTCCAACCATTTTAAAAAACATGCCAAGTTTGAAAAACAATGCTGATTCATTCTGAATTTCCTGTGCATCAGTTTTAACGTTGCAGCAACCTGCGCAGTTCAATTGTGAATCTCTTTCGTAGGGCAGTGGAAATCGCGGGGGGCTGATAGAACTTTTCCATGGCAAGACGCGCATCTCTTTCCTTGATGCTCGAGGCAATGTTTTGTTCGTAGCCGCCTCACTGCATCTGTGATTGATGAATGCAAAAAGAGCAAAATAAGGGAATGAAACAGTTATCCTTGCTAACAAATGGCTTAGCTCGTTCACATTTCTGATCAGGTCCTTTCACAGAAGGGCTTTAGCCTGGCTCGATCCTAACTCCCAACCGTGACCCATAAAATGGCAAACTCCTTTTGCATCCTGCTGCCCAGTTTGATGGGCTGAAACCTGATGGTTGGATGGATTTTTATAAGGATAGGTAAAGGTAAAGGTTCTCCTTGCACATACTTGCTAGTCGTTCCCGACTCTAGGGAGCAGTGCTCATCTCCGGTTCAAAGCCGAAGAGCCAGCGCTGTCCGAGGACATCTCCATGGTCATGTGGCCGGCATGACTAAACGCCAAAGGTGCATGGAATGCTGTTACCTCCCCACCAAAAGTGGTCTCTATTTTTTCTACTTGCATTTTTTACGCGCTTTCGAACTGCTAGGTTGGCAGAAGCTGGGACAAGTCACGGGAGCTCACCCCATTACGCAGCACTGAGGATTCGAACCACTGAACTGCCGACCTTTCATTCAACAAGCTCAGCGTCTTAGCCACTGACCCACCGCGTCCCTCTTTTTAAGGATAGAAATTGTTGAAAGATGTGCTTTATGGTGTAAAAAAACTTCAAGATATCCATGACAGCACGATGAAAGCATGGCTTTTGAGGTGTGAAAAAGGCGTTGCACATAAAAACTAGGCACTGCTTTGATTGCATCGTTTATGACCATGCCCTGTGGACACTCCTGCTATGCTGAAGATCGGTGTCTCCATAAGAATTCCTGTTCTTGGGAATTTTCTCCCCTCCAGCTTCTAGGAGGAAGTTAGGTTTTGGAGCCTACTGATGTTGGCCAAATGAGCATAGAATAGAATATAGAATAGAATAGAATTTTTTATTGGCCAAGTGTGATTGGACACACAAGGAATTTGTCTTTGGTGCATATGCTCTCAGTGTACATAAAAGAAAAGATACATTCGTCAAGAATCATAAGGTACAACACTTAATGATAGTCATGGGGAAAAAATAAGCAATCAGGAACAATATCAATATAAATCGTAAGGATACCAGCAACAAAGTTACAGTCATACAGTCATAAGTGGGAGGAGATGGGTGATAGGAACGATGAGAAGATTAATAGTAATGCAGACTTAGTAACTAGTTCGACAGTGTTGAGGGAATTATTTGTTTAGCAGAGTGATGGCGTTCGGGAAAAAATTGTCCTTGTGTCTAGTTGTTCTGGTGTGCAGTGCTCTATAGCGTCATTTTGAGGGTAGGAGTTGAAGCAATTTATGTCCAGGATGTGAAGGGTCTGTAGATATTTTCACAGCCCTCTTTTTGACTCGTGCAGTATACAGGTCCTCAATGGGAGGCAGGTTGCTAGGAATTGTTTTTTCTGCATGTCTAATTATCCTCTGAAGTCTGTGTCTGTCTTGTTGGGTTGCAGAACCAAACCAGACAGTTATAGAGGTGCAGATGACAGACTCAATCATTGCTCTGTAGAACTGGATCAGCAGCTCCTTGGGCAGTTTCTTACATGGCAAGAAAGTTATCAGAAGTTGCTCCAGGTCAGTTAGTTGTTAAATTGAGGTGATGCTATTGCTCTTGTGGTGTTTGTCTCAACTCTGGTTCCTGCTTTGGCCCCCAAGGCAATTTTCCCACAGCTTTTCTCCTCTGTTCTTCTGTCAGAACATAAAATAATTCTAGCAGGGACACGTCCAGCCTGTATGTGTAATTCAGGAAGAGCAAAAGAGCCCAGCAATATGTTCTTGGAAGGAGACGACGTCTACCCCAAACCCCAAAATTCAGACTGTATCTAAAAGTCTATCCCAAAAGTCAAGCCTTTGAGACTTAATATTAACATGCATCTTTTTGTGACCGTCTTAGGGCGAAGGTTGCCGGACCGTTCCTCTTTCGGGCCATGTCGGATTCGATAGCTTGCCTGACCAGCTGGTTAACAAATCAGTTAACCATGGTTTCTGTTTCAACATCCTCTGTGTGGGTGAGTAATACTTTCGTTTTATTCTCTTCACTCTTCCGCCCAGCCTTCTCTGGGCCCGCCATTTCCATTTTGGGGAAATTCCATGCTAAATGTAAATTCCTCTGCAGCTCCCTGTAGATAAACAGGGCTGAGACAATGCTCCTTTGATCTACCTCGGACATGGGTTTCGTGTTGGCTTCTGATCCTGTTTTACAAGATTGTTAAAATTCACTGCATGGAGTGGACGGGAGAAGGAACAGGGTTTCATAGAGTTGGTCAAAGAGAGAAGAAACTACAAAGAGGCAGAGATTGTTTGTGTCTAGCTCTGATGGCAACTTCTATTATTCCTTTGTTTCAGGGGTGGAATCTATTTACCTTCCCTACAGGTTCGGAAGCAAACCCTTCTGCGCATGTGCAGAGAGTAAAAAACAGGTTATTTCCTGGTTAAAACCAGGAAGTAACGATGACCGGGCGGGTGGGTGGAGCTTCGCGCAGCAGTGGCTACCGGTTCTCCGAACCACCCACCGCCATCGCTACCGGTTTGGCCGAACTGGTCCGAACCGGTAGCATTTCACCCCTGCTTTGTTTTATTTTGTTATTCAATTTGCTTCGTGACCCCCATGTGTTCTGACCTAGGCTTCCCCAGCAGCACGAAGCTGAGTCCTTGTCCCGATAAACCCCTTTTATTTAATTTACAGTGAATTCCTCTCCAGCAAAGTTTTCCTCTCCCACAGTTTTTCAAGATAGTTCACAATTACCGACCTTTATCAGGCTTGGAGAGTGGCCAGGCCAATATCTTTCAGATTCCACGCTGTAACCGACAATACTTGGCAAGAATGCAGGAACAGATCTTCACCCAAATGAACGAATTGTCTCCTGCAAACTCCTCTCCCCTTTGCTCCCCCTCTTTATTCCCTATGGGAGGGGCCATTCACTGTCCACCTGTGGCTTTACTCCTGAGTCGACCTTTGTTCCTTAGCTGTTCCCTTCTCCTGGCAGCTCTACGCATGTGCACACTGGGAACAGGATCCAGCTGTTCTTCTGCCCCACTGATGTCTGACTCTGAAGGCAGCTGACAACTGTCAGACAGCCCTGGCCCCATCTCTGCCTCTGACGCAGAGCCCTTGTCAGAACCTTCCCCAGACTCCAGGACTGGACCATGTTCCTCCCTAACCTCCTCACTGTCCGAATCTGCTGCCAGATCTGCTGGCCACTGGTGGGCCCAACACCATGGACCATAGCACATCCCCCCTGTTCACCATGGTCTCCCAGACTTTGCCCAAATTCATGTTCATTGCACCGATGTCCATTACTCTAGTAGGGTTCATATTAAGCAAAGAGCTAAAGAATTGTGAGGTCCTTGGTGCTCTCTGAGCTTGGTTACTTTCTCGCAGACGTTTCACCACCCAATTAGGTAACACCATCAGTGCTAGAAGGGAGTAAGGGCTTCCTCTCTGTTTATATTCTTGTAGTTTACCCTGTCACTGTTGGTGGGAATGATCTTGGTGGTCCCTTAATTAGGGTATTGTTTCCTGTTTGACTGAGTTGGTAGTTCCTTGATTTGAGGAAGATGAACAATTAAATAAATTATGCCACGGGTGTACCCTGTTTCCCCCGAAATAAGATATCCCCTGATAATAAGTCCAATCGAGCTTTTGAGCGCATGGCAATAAGGCCAAGCTCTTATTTCAGGGTTCAAGAAAATATGACAGGGTCTTATTTTCGGGAAAACACGGTAACACAACTTTAATTGGGGTGAAGACACTAAACTAAACTTCCCATTAAAGAAATTGTGAATTCTGCCTGGGTTCCTTCTATAAAGTTGATGTAAATGATGAATTGTCTTTCTATTGATTGAGTTATTCACATAGAGATTTTATTCATTTCCGTGTTGGGCAGTGTCTTGCCAATCTTGTATAGGATATTTTGAAAGAGGACAAATGGCGTTGGCGACTCTCTTTCAGTTATGACCTCTGGTGCCCTGATGGTGCATTAATTTTGCTGTAGATTGAGAGTTATGCCCCTGCAGGAAATTTAATACAAAAAAACCCCCTGTCCGTGTGGATAGTGCTATATTAAGAACAAAGAGAACTCGTCACAGCTCTCAAAACATTAACTTGGTCTTATGAATCATCTATTTATAAGAATCTCCACCCAAACCTCCGCACTTTTAATATTCGTGCTTTACATTTATTGAGTATTTGGGCATTCCAACCACTTGGCATTTATGATTGTTATAATAAAACGGCAGGCCTGATATGGAGGGTAGAGCTACCTATTTCAGGTGAAAGATTAAGGTTGAAAATAGATGAGCTGAGCAACAGAGATGATGAGAGACAACACAATATGTTGTTGGAAACAGCACTAAAGGAACCCAGTTTTCAATTTCCATTTCACCACGAAGCTGATGAATGAAGAAGAAGAGCAGGCAGAGCTGGGGACGGAGTTAAGCATGTCATCAGCTTAGAATCGTTACGTTCCCACAAACAGTTCAAGTCCAATCCAACTTGAATTCCATTAACCCTTATCTGGCACCAATTTACTGTCGAATTTTAGTTGCCAATAAAGGAGAATATTTGTAGCGTAGGGTTAAAAAGAAAAGAGGGCTCCTTGATACTCTCTGATCTTGGTTGTTTTCTTGCAAACATTTCATGACCTGTCTAGGTAACATCATCAGTGCTAGAAGAATGTGGGGTGTGTGTGGAGAAGGAGGAGGAGGACTGTGTGGTCCTTGATATTCTCTGAGCTTGGTTGTTTTTTTTTTGAAGACTTTCATTACCCAAATTAGGTAACATCGTCAGAGCACTGATAATGTTACTCAGTTGGATAATGAAAACGTCTCCAAGAAAACAATCACGCTCAGAACTTTAGTTGACTAGATTTCTTGAATAAATCTTCTGTGCTGCAGTCTAACGGATGGTCCCGACTCTTTGTGCCTGACAGTAAGATAGTTTCCACACCAGTAACTTACAGAATCGTCACAGCCACCTTCAGCCTTTGTTGACATGACCTAGTAAAGACTGTCTACATGCATTGAAATTTTGACACAAGAAAGGACTACATGATGCTCGAAGATGCTGGAGGTCACTGGTGGGGGTGGGGGTGGGGGGAATGACTTAGGACCCACGTTCCTTTTGCCCTTGTTGAGGGAAAAACCCTTTTAAATTGTTCGGGTGGAAGATGAAATATAAAGAAAGAATGAAATAAAGGTTCTCAGCAGATGAAAAAAAAAATCAGCGAATGAACAAATGGAAGTAAAGTCAATAAATCTGTAGAAATCAAATAGAGAAATAGCCTGTATATATTTAATTTAAGATCTTTTTTGTTTTAATACGTTTCTAATGTTTTAACTGTTTTTAATATTTTTAGAACTGGGAGCCCCTCTGAGTGTCATTGATCGACAGGGGTGGCAATAGAAATTGAATGAATGAATGAATGAATGAATGAATGAATGAATGAATGAATGAATAGAAATGGAATGAACAAATAAACAAATAAATAAAGGAGATAAACAATTAATTGATTTGAGTGAGATTTATCCCAGGGACAACTTCTCTCTCTCTCTCTCTCTCTCTCTCTCTCTCTCTCTCTCTCTCTCTCTCTCTCTCCCTCTCTCTCTCTCCCTCTCCCTCTCTTTCCCTCTCCCTCCCTCTCCTCTCCCCCTCTTGCTCTTTCAGCTGCTTTCTCATTTCTTCCCCAGAAAAAAAAAAAACACCCAGATTTTTTGCAAACTAACTGCTTTTATTTCAAAGAAAAGGAAATAGTGACATCAGTTCTCGATGTATTTTGCAATCCAATTTGGCTGCTTTGGGTATTTGAGTGGAGTTCGTAATGTTCCAGAGACAGGAATTCTTGCCTCCCATTTATTTATTTATTATAAATAAACAATTTTTATGTCTATTTTAAAAAAAACCTTATTTCTTATCTCCTGTATTTCTACGGCCTCCCTTAAACAACCAAAAGCAACTTTTAAAAATTTGATTCTGGCAAAAGATGGCTCTGCTTTGGTCAGCTGTGAAGGATGACAGATTTATCCTGGTTGACCTGTCTGTCAGGAAGTTTGGCCGGGCTCCATCCCAGGATGATCTTACACCGAAGCGGAGGTCTGTCTCTGCCGTTTTGGTTCCAGGAAACTTTTCAATTTGGAAGTGATGATTAATGGCTGTTTCCTCAGGCGACTTAATGTTTTCTGCGTCTTCCCCAATGCCTAATTTCTGGATCGGGTTGCAGGAAATCCGTTGCTCATTAAAGAGCCATTCCCTTTTCCTGGCCATAAACCCAGATATAACATGTCTTGATGAGAGCATATATATATATATATTATTCCACCCAACTCTTCCTCTTGGTTCGGTCCATGAATTGTATGCTTTTTACTGCAGCACCTCTTAAGCGTTGCAGCGCAAAATATTGATGTTATATTTTCCAGAGCCTTAAAAAAAATACGCACACTCCTGAATCATTTTTTTCTTTTTTTAGAAAAAGGCTGTTTTAGGTGTCCCTTAAACGACATCACTCTAGCACAGTTGCATAGCTTTTGGAGAGAAAGAAGAAAATAAAGAATAAAAATAACGATTTATAGTCTATATTTTTCCCCTCCATGAAGAATAGAATAGAATAGAATTTTTTATTGGCCAAGTGCGATTGGACACACGAGGCATTTGTCTTTGTGCATATTTTTTTTTCTCCTATCATGGAGATAGAAAGCTAAAACTGGAAGAATTTTTTTTTTCCCCTTAAAAGAAAAAAAAACAAACTCAGAATATTCTGTGGGAAAGTAACTCTGGATCGGCTGATGGGTTTCCGTAAAAAGCAACAAAGAAATTCTAATTTGGGATCGGCGGTGGCGCCTCGTGTAAAATGCACTAGTTTGTAAGGGGGTTGATGCAGATTTGAACGTCGACAAAATCTCTGGTGTTTTGGTTCTTTTGATGCAAGGAGATTTTGCAAGGAAAAAAAAAATTCTCCTTGGAAAGGAAGCAAAAAACCTGTTTATTTTATCAACTGATTGTCTCGACTTGTCCAATATAGTCATCTGTTCAGCGTCTGAGATAGAAATCTTTGCCAACCCATGCTAGCAGACACCCCAAGATAGCCTGTTTCAAAGGATAAATCGGTAACAGAACAAACAACTGGACGGTTTACGGGAATCAAACCTTCTGGGAAGGCATAGAATAAGGACAGGATTGGACGGAGGAACTGTTGACATTTCTCGGGCAAAATATAGGTTGTCTAGAACTAGAGCCACGATGGCGAACCTATGGCACGCGTGCCACAGGTGGCACATGGAGCCGTATCGGTGGGCACACAAACTCAGCTCCGCCAGCTGATTTTCGGACCTTCTGGGCCTACCAGAAGTTAGGAAACACTCAGTTCCCAGCCTCCGGAGGGCCTCCAGGGCAGGGGAGGCCTGTTTTTCACTCTCCCCAGATTCCAGAGCCTTTTGAGGAATCTGGGGAGGGCAAAAACTGCCTTCCCCACCCCCCACCCCACCCCGGAGGCCCTCCAGAGGCCGGAAATGGCCTGTTTCCCAACTGGGGAGAGCAAAAAACAGGCTTACTGGGCCCACCGTGCCATCATGTGGCAGAGGGGGGGGGGGGGGCCGGGGGGGGGGGCGGCAGGCATAGAATTATGGGTGTGGGCACATGCATGTGCAACCCCCCCACACACTCCCTCCACGTTTGGCACGCGATGGCAAAAAGGTTAGCCATTACTGAACTAGAGGTGCCGATAAAAAAGAATGTTTGTAGCTCTGAGTTGATCTTTGAGATTGGTGCTCTCTGGTGGTTTTCTTGCAGACCTTTTATAACCCAAGTAGGTAACACCATCAGTCCTAGAAGGAAATGGGGTTAAGGAGTGGGGGGGGGAGAAGGAGGAGGATTGTGTGGTCCTTGGTGCTGTTTGAGCTTGGTTGGGGGTTTTTTCTGGCAAACATTTCGTGACCCAACTAGGTAACATCATCAGTGCTAGAAGTGAGGGAGGAGGAGGAGGAGCAGGATCCTTAGTGCTGTCAATTTTTGACAATTTTCTTGCAGACGTTCCATGACCCAGCTCGGTAACATCATCAGTTCTAGAACCTCACTTCCTTCTAGCACCGAAGATGTTCCCTCCTTTGGTAATGAAGTTCAGTTCAGAACTGAAGAAGCTTCTTGGATGGGAAGCCAAACATTTTCAAAAAGAAAAAAGAAAAAAAACCCAAGAAAATCCAGTTGCCTTTTGGAAAAAGGACAACCACGTTCTGGATGATTGAGCACCTCCCCAGACATTTTTCCTGAGCTCTTATTTCTCATGTCTGCACAAAGACTATTTGCAGCTGTTCTGTGTAAATCTGTGCCTCTCGTGACTCTCTTCCACCCCTCTCCGTGGCTCCGTGAACGTGGATTCTGCCTCTTCATCTGCTTTGCCAGGGAGAAAAAAAAAAATAATGTAAAAAAAGGAAATTCTTCCGAAAAGCTACGGATTATCCAGATGGAGGATTATCATTTTTTTTATTATTATTATATACCTGCACTCTGCCTCCTCCTGTGTTGCCTTGGCGTTTTTGCTTTTATCAATTAGATGTTTACGAGTGCCACTTTATTTCTCTATAGCCAGGTTAAAAAAAAAAATCATTTTTAGAACCTACTGGATGGAAGGATGGCTTTTAACTGCTGAATCGCTAATGACGGCAATCATATGGTGTAATGTTTAATCTAATCGGGTTTTACAAAAGGCTTTGAGCTCACACAGGGGCTGAGAGAGGCGATGGTGTCTTAAAAACCAAATACGAAAAATTGCATTTTCTTTGGCTAAATTCAAACTCATTAACTGCATCCCTGAGGCCGGATACAAACAAGATATTGAATAAAAGAAGCATTGCATCTTTCTCTCTCTATTTGTATACCGTGTTTCCCCGAAAATAAGACCCTGTCTTATATTTTTTTGAACCCTGAAATAAGCGCTTGGTCTTATTTTCAGGGAGGTCTTATTATTTTGGGGCGCATGGAGCAAGATGAGGCTCCTCTTGCCATCTTACCTGATTTCCAGCTCTGTCTCCCTAACCCTAACCAGAAGAAATGGCAAGGACCAGTTGCTCATGTGTTTAAATATTTTCAGGGAGGTCTTATTTTTTGGGGGGGAAGGTCTTATTTTTCGGAGAGGTCTTTTTTCCGGGGAAACACGGTATGTGCATAAGAGAAAAACAGCAAGTGTAATGAATCTAAAAATAATGAATAACATCGTTACTAAAAAAACCAAAATCCAAATAAATTCCCGGGCGGGAATGCTTCTATCGCAATTTTAAAACTCCTTTTCCAAAATCCATACATCGGTGTTTCCTTTTCTGTCCTTCCTTCCTTTTTGCTCTGATTTGAGGTGTGTGTGTGTGTGGTTTTGTGTGTGTGTGTGTGTGTCTCCGTGCTTGGAAATGCCATTTCTATTTTGAATAGTTTAGGTCTCCTACCTTCCCCCACGTCTTGAGGGCAAATTTTGCCGTGTGTTCTGTGATGCAGAAAATGGATGTCAGTGAATTATTATCCTAACATTAAAAAAAAAAAAAAGAGTAGTGTGTGGGGGGGAACCAGGGGTGGGCTTCAAAATTTTTAACAAGGGGTTCTCTGCCTGGTTGCTGGCTGGGCGTGGCCATGGTGGGCGTGGCCTAGTCGGGCTCCTGCACCACGGTGGGGAGGGGGGCATTTTTTACCTCCCCAGGCTCTGGAGGCTTTTCTTGAGCCTCCGGGAGGGCGAAAAACAGCCTCCCCAGGCTCCGGAGGCCCTCTGGAGGCCGGAAATGAATTTCCGGTAGGCCCGTTTTTTGCCCTCCCGGAGGCAAAAGAAAATATTTGTAGCTCAGGGTTGAACTGTTAGTCCTTAATCAATGGAACAACTTGCCTCCAGAAGTTGTGGGTTCTCCAACACTGGAGATTTTTAAGAAGGGATTGGACAACCATTTGTCTGAAATGGTGCAGGGTTTCCTGCCTGAATAGAGGGTTGGACTAGAAGATCTCCAGGGTCCCTTCCAACTCTGTTATTCTATTATTCTCTGGTTGTTTTCTTGCAGACATTTCGTTACCAAAATAAGTAACATCATCAGTGTTAAGAGGATCACATTATTATTATTATTATTGATTAATCTTTGGTGAGATTCACAGCTTTTGAGGCTGGTTAATAGCTCAGCAGCTCGAGTCCTAACCAAGGACTTAGGAACTGTTAAGGTATCATTGGAGGATGTAAGCTGTTCCAAGTAAGGTGGTTTTTTGTAGAGTCAAAATGTTGTTGTTGTTGTTGTTGTTGTTGTTGTTATTATTATTATTATTTGTTTATTGGGGTGGAAACTCCTCAGAATTCCTTCCTTAAAAACCGATAAATAAGTTCTCATCACATATTTAGCCTATGTAAATATCGGAAAGGAAAAACAATTCACATCCGCTCTTGGTTCACTCTGCGTTTGCTTTTATTTCTTAGATGTCGTCGTACGTTTTAGAGTCCTTTTTAATAAAATATATGTGTGTGTGTTTTTTTCACCTCCCAAAGGAGAAACAGGTCTCGGGAAGTCAACGTTGATGGATACGCTCTTCAACACCAAGTTTGAAGGAGACCCAGCTTCTCATTCCCAGCCGGGAGTTCAGCTGAAATCCAGTTCCTACGACTTGCAGGAAAGCAATGTTCATCTGAAGCTGACTATTGTCAGCACGGTGGGCTTTGGCGATCAGATTAACAAAGAGGACAGGTAAGTAGGACTTGTCCTTGGTGAAATAGAAATCAGGAGTGATTTTCTGGCTAGATTCATCTTGATGGGAGTGACGTATGTCTAGTCTAACCCTAACCCTAACCCTAACCCTAACCCTAACCCTAACCCTAGGGAGCGAGCCTTCTCTGTGGGTGCACCTACCTGTCAACTTGCAAAGCTTTCAAGTTGCCATGAGCAGGAGGGAGGGAGATCTGATAGAGCTGATTGATTTCCCTAACTGAAGTGCATTCCATACATTCTTCCTGACCGCAATCAGAAGGAGGGTGTTGAATTTCACAGCCAGCCAAAGTGGTTAATTGGAGAATGGAGAATTAAAACATGGCTGTTTCGCCAAGCTGGCCTGGACTGAATGGGGTTTTAATGGGAATTTTAGTTTTTATTGTTGAATTTTAATTGGGCTTCTTGTTGTTTATTGCTGTGAGCCGCCCTGAGTCCTTGTGGAGAAAGGGCAGCATATAAGTCCAATAATAAATAAATAAATAAAATAAATAAACCTAACCCTAACCCTAACCCTAACCCTAACCCTATCACTTCTCGGCGTTTTGGCTAAGATCAAGTGTAGTATGTCTAGTAGTCTAATGAAGAAAAGGACTAAGGGTAGCATGATAGCAGTCTTCCAATATTTGTGGAGCTGCCACAAAGAGGAAAGAGTCGAACTATTCTCCAAAGCACCTGAGGCAGGAGAAGAAGCAATGGGTGGAAACTCATCAAGGAGAGAGGCAACCTAGAACTAAGGAGAAATTTCCTGACAGTGAAAACAATTAATCAATGGAACAACTTGCCTTCAGAAGTTGTAGGTGCTCCATCACTGGAGGTTTCTAAGAAGAAACTATTACTATTTGCTCCATAGTAGTAACTGTGAGAGGGATCTTGGAGTCCTAGTGGACAACCATTTAAATGTGAGCCAGCAGTGTGCAGCAGCAGCTGCCAAAAAAGTCAACACAGTTCTAGGCTGCATAAACAGAGGAATAGAATCAAGATCACGTGTAGTGTTAATACCACTTTGTAAGGCCTTGGTAAGGCCACACTTGGAATCCTGCATCCAGTTTTGGTCACCACGATGTAAAAAAAGATGTGGAGACTCTAAAAAGAGTGCAGAGAAGAGCAACAAAGATGATTGGGGACTGGAGGCTAAAACATATGAAGAACGGTTGCAGGAACTGGGCATGTCTAGTTTAATGAAGAGAAGGACTAGGGGAGACATGAGAGCAGTGTTCCAATATCTCAGGGGCTGCAACAAAGAAGTGGGAGTCAAGCTCTTCTCCAAAGCACCTGAGGGCAGGACAAGAAGCAACAGGTGGAAACTAATCAAGGAGAGAAGCAACTTAGAACTAAGGAGGAATATCCTGACAGTGAGAACAATTAATTAGTGGAACAACTTGCCTCCAGAAGTTGTGGATGCTCCAACACTGGAAGTTTTGAAGAAGAAATTGGACAGCCATTTGTCTGAAACGGTAGAGGGTTTCCTGCCTGAGCAGGGGGTTGGACTAGAAGACCTCCAAGGTCTCATCCAGCTCTGTTATTTCATTATATTGTTGAGAGCCAAATCTGTTAGTGCCTTGTTGACTAAATCCAGACAGGACCCTTAGATCAGTTCAGATGAACCGCTGAACAGGAAAGGGAGTGGACCTGTAGTGTGTTTCACTTACCTTCACTACCGGTTTGGAACTGTGAGCACGTGCAGAACCATCTGCACATGCGCAGAGTGTCCGTGATGATGTCCGGGCAGGTGGGCGGAGCCTCCCACCACCGCCGCTACTGGTTTGCCCAAACCGGGGCGAACTGTTAGAAACTCACCACTGGAGTGGACATGGGTGGCATTTCCTCATGAGACATGTCCAGTTTTGAATTCTGGGACTGGTAGTACTCACCTAACTAGCTGGAGAACAGCAGATGAAAGAGGTTGTTCAAAAGAAGCTTTTCTTCTATGTAGGAAGCACCGGAAAAGAATTAACATGTTTTCTGTCTTCCCATATATGTATTTTTTATGAAGCTATAAACCCATTGTGGAATTCATCGATACCCAATTTGAAGCCTACCTTCAAGAGGAGTTGAAAATTAAGCGGGTGCTGCATAATTACCACGATTCCAGGGTCCACGCTTGCTTGTACTTCATCGCTCCCACGGGACATTCTTTGAAATCCTTGGACTTGGTCACCATGAAGAAACTGGACAGTAAGGTAGGACGTGCAGGGTCAGCCGATGAGAAGGTCTTGTCCGTGATCTTGGTTCATGTGACCCGCAGGGTCCACTTCTGTGGTGCCTCCTATACTTTGATAAGTGGGATAATTCATTTGGACATTATTGTCAACTCGCAAAGTGTCCCTGGCCTGCTCTCAATTTGCCATAGGCAAGGGGGGGGGTGGGAAAATGGCCAAGCAGCACAGCAGCCAAAAACTAAACCACATTCCAGACATCTCTCTCTCAAGGCTGTCTCCCAGGGTTACCCAGAGCAGCCGGAGAGGAGTGATCTCTACAACCTGCGAAATTGCTCCGTTGGCAAATATGATTGATGACACACCCTGGGGGGGAGAGGGGAAACAGGGTCAAGTCTAGGCCATAAATTATGTGGGGTCAGAATTGGCTTTTAAACTCTGACTCCACATAAACTCCAAAAAGAATGTAAAAGAGAATGCCAGCTGCTTTTGCCTGCTCTGGAACATCCCTTCTTTTGCTGTCCTGCCTTTTAGGCAAAATGGAAACTCTGGAAATTTTCATGCAATCAAATTTTATGTGGTTTAAATGTTCAGAATTTTTCTTTTCTTCTTTGGGATTCCCTGTAGGTGAATATCATTCCTATTATTGCCAAATCCGACGCCATCTCCAAGAGCGAGCTGACCAAATTCAAAATTAAGATCACCAGTGAACTCGTGAGCAACGGAGTGCAAATCTACCAATTCCCTACCGACGATGAGTCCGTGTCAGAAATCAACGGAACCATGAATGTAAGATAATACCACAATAACCATAATCGCTTCTGGAATTAAATATTGCATTTGGAAAAAGTCTATGGAGATTCTCCATTATCCAGGTCATGGTTGTCCCAAAGGTGCTTTTTTCAAGAGGCAACTGGATTTTCTGGTTTTTCCTTTGAAGAGGTTTCGCTTCTCACCCAAGAAGCTTCTTCAGTTCTGAGAGAAGCTGAAGAAGCTTCTGAGAGAAGCTGAAGAAGCTTCTTGGATGAGAAGCGAAACCTCTTCAAAGAAAAATCAGAAAGTCCAGTTGCCTCTTGAAAAAAACATCTTTGGGACATTGGAAAAAAGATTCACACCTGATCTCTGTTCCAGACTTTCAGGCAGGACTTCGTTGTCCTCTATGGTTCCTTCCTTCATGCACAACGTTGAAAAAAGCATATTTTGATTATAGTTTGTTTTTTTAATTGAACTATCGTTAGCAAACATTATCAGATAACTAAATTAACATAGATATAACATGAATAGAGGAGGGGTGGAGAAATAAAAACACCAACAAATCTACTAAAGTTTTCTAGATGCTTTTACTGGTTTATGGTTTTTGTTTTAATTGTTCTTTAATTTTTGAACTGTAAGCCACCAGAGGCACTTGGTTAAATTGGGTGACTGTAGAAATCGAATGAACAAATAAATGAATAACAATTAATAAATAAAATGCAAGTAGAGAGGTACGATTTAGAGGGATGTGGTGGCTCAGTGGCTAAGATGCTGAGTTTGTCGATAGAAAGGTTGACAGTTCAGCAGTTCAAATCCCTAGTGCCGTGTAACGGGGTGAGCTCCCGTGACTTGTCCCAGCTTCTGCCAACCTAGCAGTTCGAAAGCACTTAAAAAATGCAAGTAGAAAAATAGGGACCACCTTTGGTGGGAAGGTAACAGCGTTCCGTGCGCCTTTGGCGTTGAGTCATGCAGGCCACATGACCACGGAGATATTTTGGGACAGCGCTGGCTCTTTGGCTTTGAACCGGAGATTCGCACTGCCCCCTAGAGTCAGGAACGACCAGCACATATATGCAATGGGAACTTTTACCTTTACTTTAGAAAGGTACAATTTCCAGATTTAACCATGTATGTAAAGTATTACCTTATTGTACCGTTATTACTGGGATAAACCATGAAATCCACCCAAGTTTGATAAAATTGTGGCTCCTGCCTGCAATGTCAGATATATCAACTAATATTGAAGGTGCATTTTCTGTTTTTTTGGGGGGGGGGTGCTCCAGGCTCATTTACCTTTTGCCATCATTGGCAGCACAGAAGAAATCAAGATAGGAAATAAAATGATGAAGGCACGTCAATATCCATGGGGGATAGTGCAAGGTAAGTCAAGTGGCTACTTCAAGAGACCTTGGTGGCTTCTTGACCAAAATGTTCTTCCTTGCTGGGTTAACATGACCGTGTGCAGCTGATCCTGAACAAGATAGGTTCCTATACAATAGAAGGCCCCATAAAAGTTCCCACCTGTGTAATAACTTTTAGAGTTATGTTTCTGTTCAATAAGAAGCAACGGATGGAAACTCATCAAGGAGAGAAGCAACCTAGAACTCAGGAGAAATTTCCTGATAGCTACAGTAGAACAATTCATCAGTGGAACGACTTGCCACTAGAAGTTGTGGGTGCTCCAACACTGGAGGTTTCCAAAAAAAGATTGGTTGACCATTTCTGAATGGTAGAGAGTTTCCTGCAAGAGCTGGGGGTTGGACTAGAAGACCTCCAAAGGTCCCTTCCAACGCTGTTATTCTCTGAGCTTGGTTGTTTTCTTGTGGATGTTTCATTACCAAAATAAGTAACATCATCAGTGTTAAGAGGACTACTTCATTAAAATCTTTATTTATTTTGGGGGGTTTTGGGGAGTGGAAACGCCTCAAAATTCCTTCCTTAAATATTCTCCTGCTTATGTTAATTGTACTGAACAAGTAAATACTGTTCTCGTCACATATTTAGCCTGTATTAATATTGGAAAGGGGGGGGGGGGATCATATCAGCTCTTTGGTTCACTCTGTGTTTGCTTTTATTTCTTAGATGTCATTATAAATTTGTTATTCTGTTTTCAACCATGGCAGCTTGAAGATAGACGGACTTCAGCTCCCAGAATTCCCCCCGACCAGCCAGACCTGCTGGGGAATTCTGGGAGTTGAAGTTCCCACATAGGGGTGGGCTTCAAAAATTTTAGCAAGGGGTTCTCTGCCCGGTTGCTGGGTGGGCGTGGCCTCCTGAACCATGATGGGGCGGTATTTTTGCCCTCCCCAGGCTCTGGAGGCTTTTTTCGAGCCTCCGGGAGGGCAAAAATGGCCTCCCCAGGCTCCAGAGGCCCTCTGGAGGCTGGAAACAAACTTCCGGTAGGCCTGTTTTTTGTCTTCCCCGAGCCTCCGCACACGCCCTGCACTTACCTGCATTCAAAATGGGCCAGGTGGGGACTCCTGGGAGGGGAGGGGTGTGGTGGGAAGGGCCAGCCAGGAGTGGGATTTGGGGGTTCTCCGAACTGCACAGAATCTTAGCTAGTGGTTCTCCCGAACTCCTGCAAACCCCCTGTCCCCACATTTCAAAGTCACTAAGACAGAGGAACAATGTTGTAGTAGAGCAATATTGTTTAACTTTATCGGTTGCCCTCTTTTTATCGACCCACACAGTGGAAAACGAAACTCACTGTGACTTTGTGAAACTGAGAGAGATGCTGATCCGGGTAAACATGGAAGATCTTCGCGAACAAACCCACACGCGCCATTATGAGTTATACCGACGGTGTAAACTGGAAGAAATGGGATTTAAGGACACGGATCCTGACAGCAAGCCTTTCAGGTACGGGTTTACTAGATTAGGGGCACCCATTGAAGGAAAGGGCTGTCCAAAAAATAAACCATCATGATGGTGGTTGTTACTGCATGAGTAAAATTTTGTCACTTGCCTTAACAGTTATCCCTGCACTACAGCACTACTTAATACAACATTGGTAGGAGAAAAAAATCCGCTTAGAGGAGAAAAAAATACGACCAAACTTGTTTTTAAAAACATAAACATTGGTCTAAGAGTCCTTCATGGCACTATTGTATAACAGCCAAGAGATATTTCAAACATTGATTGTCTGGTCAGTTGTATATGATCTATCACTTTTTTGTTTGTATGTACACTGAGAGCACCAGAGACAAATTCCTTGTGTGTCCAATAACACTTGCCCAATAAAGAATATTCTGTTCTATGTCCTGTCCTGTCCTATTCTATCCTATTTCTACTCTACTCTTCCTCTTCCTCTTCCTCTTCCTCTTCCTCTTCCTCTTCCTCTTCCTCTTCCTCTTCTGCTCTGCTCTGCTCTGCTCTATTCTACTCTACTTTACTCTACTCTACTCTACTCTACTCTACTCTATTCTACTCTCTTCCTCTTTCTCTTTCTCTTCCTATTCTATTCTATTCTATTCTATTCTATTCTATTCTATTCTATTCTATTCTATTCTATTCTATTCTATTCTATTCTTCTCATTTATTCTCATGTGATTCCCTTTTCTTTTGAGACCTTCTGATGAGCAAAGTCAATGGCGGAAGCCAGCTTCACTTAACAACCAGGTTACTAACTTATCAACTGCAGGCATTCACTTTAACAACAGTGGCCAGACAGGTCATAAAATGGAGCAAAACTCACTTAACCAAAGCCTCAGCAAAAGAAATGTGTTCATCAGCCGAGGACTACCTAATATAATCTTGATTCTGCAGATGTACAAGACCAAGACTTTAATAGGCTTTGTATGATATGAGCTGTAAGGTGACTCAAGCTGAATTGGCTGGTTGTTTCCCCCTCTTTTCAAATATTGCCTTCTTCCACCGTCTTGCTGTAGTTTACAAGAAACCTATGAGGCCAAAAGGAATGAATTTCTTGGAGAACTTCAGAAGAAAGAAGAGGAAATGAGACAGATGTTTGTCCAGAGGGTGAAAGAGAAGGAAGCGGAGCTGAAAGAGGCTGAAAAAGAGGTGAATTGATTGATTGATTGATTATATTTATTTGCTGCCCCTCTCATGTTGAAGTGACTCTTGAATTGATGAGGGTCTGCAGAGAGGCTGAGATAGTATCGCACCAATTATGGCCAGGATGACTAAACGTTTTAGAGCTGAACAACGTTTCTGCTTTTAAATGCATTCTTTCCATCACAACAAGATAGCTTTTGTTGAATCAAAAACCTCTCTCCGATGTGTTGGAAATGTAAAGCAACGCCAGGAACTTTTTACCATATGTGGTGGGATGCCTGAAAGCTAGAGGCTTTTGGAAGCAGATAAAACGATGGCTGGAAGAGATATTAAATCAAAACATAGTTTTAAAGCCAGAACATTTTCTGTTGGGTATTACAAAAGATAAATATAATAAAGGAACAATATATTTAATGTGGCATATACTAACGGCACTAAGATTGGCCTTCAGGCAAAATTGCGCAAAATTGCAAAGCAAAGAGAGAAGTATCTGTGAAGATAATGGCAGCCGGAGAAAGGTTTCTCAAAATGCCGCAGAATTGTGAGAAATTTAAGGCAACTTATGCTACCTTGGAGAGGCATTTAAATTAAATCAAAGTCCTCTCTTGATCTTTGGTATTATCACTTCTGTGTTTCTGTCCCACCAGCTACTTTGTTCAGCAGGCTCTTAACACGTCAAATATGCTCCAATCTACACTACAGATTTTTGATTCAAGCTTCTGTATCTCTCACATGTAATCCCTTCACAAAACAAGTGGGTTATGGGATGGTGGAGCCCCATAACTGTCTTCCTCGAGAGTTTTGAGACGGTCTGTATTTAGATCACTTTGTTCCAGGCCGTTAATAAGTTTCTGAGGAACCTCATGGTCCTGGAGGAGTTCTAGATGTCCCTTGATTATGTCAAGGATCTCCCCTTTGAGAATTGGTATCGACGTGTGTGCCTTGGTACCCTTATTCCAGCTCCACGAGAAATTCGATCGTCTGAAGAAGCTGCACCAGGATGAGAAGAAGACTATTCTATTCTATTCTATTCTATTCTATTCTATTCTATTCTATTCTATTCTATTCTATTCTTCTCATGTGATTCCCCTTTTGAGACCTTCTGATGAGCAAAGTCAATGGCGGAAGCCAGCTTCACTTAACAACCAGGTTACTAACTTATCAACTGCAGGCATTCACTTTAACAACAGTGGCCAGACAGGTCATAAAATGGAGCAAAACTCACTTAACCAAAGCCTCAGCAAAAGAAATGTGTTCATCAGCCGAGGACTACCTAATATAATCTTGATTCTGCAGATGTACAAGACCAAGACTTTAATAGGCTTTGTATGATATGAGCTGTAAGGTGACTCAAGCTGAATTGGCTGGTTGTTTCCCCCTCTTTTCAAATATTGCCTTCTTCCACCGTCTTGCTGTAGTTTACAAGAAACCTATGAGGCCAAAAGGAATGAATTTCTTGGAGAACTTCAGAAGAAAGAAGAGGAAATGAGACAGATGTTTGTCCAGAGGGTGAAAGAGAAGGAAGCGGAGCTGAAAGAGGCTGAAAAAGAGGTGAATTGATTGATTGATTGATTATATTTATTTGCTGCCCCTCTCATGTTGAAGTGACTCTTGAATTGATGAGGGTCTGCAGAGAGGCTGAGATAGTATCGCACCAATTATGGCCAGGATGACTAAACGTTTTAGAGCTGAACAACGTTTCTGCTTTTAAATGCATTCTTTCCATCACAACAAGATAGCTTTTGTTGAATCAAAAACCTCTCTCCGATGTGTTGGAAATGTAAAGCAACGCCAGGAACTTTTTACCATATGTGGTGGGGATGCCTGAAAGCTAGAGGCTTTTGGAAGCAGATAAAACGATGGCTGGAAGAGATATTAAATCAAAACATAGTTTTAAAGCCAGAACATTTTCTGTTGGGTATTACAAAAGATAAATATAATAAAGGAACAATATATTTAATGTGGCATATACTAACGGCACTAAGATTGGCCTTCAGGCAAAATTGCGCAAAATTGCAAAGCAAAGAGAGAAGTATCTGTGAAGATAATGGCAGCCGGAGAAAGGTTTCTCAAAATGCCGCAGAATTGTGAGAAATTTAAGGCAACTTATGCTACCTTGGAGAGGCATTTAAATTAAATCAAAGTCCTCTCTTGATCTTTGGTATTATCACTTCTGTGTTTCTGTCCCAGCTACTTTGTTCAGCAGGCTCTTAACACGTCAAATATGCTCCAATCTACACTACAGATTTTTGATTCAAGCTTCTGTATCTCTCACATGTAATCCCTTCACAAAACAAGTGGGTTATGGGATGGTGGAGCCCCATAACTGTCTTCCTCGAGAGTTTTGAGACGGTCTGTATTTAGATCACTTTGTTCCAGGCCGTTAATAAGTTTCTGAGGAACCTCATGGTCCTGGAGGAGTTCTAGATGTCCCTTGATTATGTCAAGGATCTCCCCTTTGAGAATTGGTATCGACGTGTGTGCCTTGGTACCCTTATTCCAGCTCCACGAGAAATTCGATCGTCTGAAGAAGCTGCACCAGGATGAGAAGAAGAAGCTGGAGGACAAGAAGAAATCCTTGGACGATGAAGTCAACGCGTTTAAGCAGAGGAAGACAGCAGCTGAATTGCTTCAGTCTCAGGCTCAGCAGGCAGGAGGTTCACAGACACTGAAAAGGGAAAAGGAGAGAAAAAAGTAAGTGGGCATCTCTGGCCTTTTCCTCCTTCTTTTCTCCGTAGTTGAGGTCTTTTGACCATCCTTGGGGTACCACCAACATGCCTTACCTCTTTTTTGAAATCCTGTTTGGGAGCTGGGCTGTTTGGGGTATGGATAGGTAGAGTGATAGGATCTCTTGGGTTGTTCCTCAATCGGTTTAATCAACATCTGGTGATTTCCCATCTGTTCGTAGCAATGTTTCTTGGGCTTTGCTACTTGAAAGATGGTGGATGGTGTCTGAACCCACCTTGGAAGTCCAAAAGATTGATTTCCCATCATAAAAACTGGCCATATCTAACTTATAGAACTGCCTGACCAGAAAGACACTGTTCTGACCTAGGCTTCCTGAGACATTAAAAAACACACAATTAGTCCCCAAAACCATCTTTTTATTTCAACGGCTGTGAATTCTGTTCATTCACAGCCCGTGATGAGTCACAAATAGTTTGTAAAGAGTCCGACAGACGTCTGCCACAGTCCTTCGGGATAAAACTGACAAGCACCCACCTTAAATTGGAGGTTTCTTGGCAATATATATATATGAGCCACGGTGGTGCAGTGGTTAGAGTGCAGTATTGCAGTCTACTTCTGCTGATCACCGGCTGCCAGTAAGTTTGGCAGTTCGATTCTCACCAGGCTCCAGGTTGACTCAGCCTTCCATCCTTCCGAGGTTGGTAAAATGAGGACCCAGATTGTTGGGGGGCAAGAGGTTGACTCTGTAAACCGCTTAGAGAGGGCTGTAAAAGCACTATGAAGCGGTATATAAGTCTAAGTGCTATTACTAAGTGCTATTTCTATATATACATTCTTTTATTTCTTTTTCCTTTACTGCGCTACATTTGCCTTCCTCTTAGTTGTTATTTGTGTGCTATTTTTCAGTTAATCCCTGCTGTTTGCTGCATGGTGCATGCACGATGCATGATGGCACCTTGTGTTGGTAAGCTGTGACTAAACCGAGAATCCAAGGCAAACCTTGTGCCACACCAGACACAATCCTCCTGAATCGTCCAACTCCTAGTATTTTTGGCCATTCCCAACATAACAGAATTTCCAGTTACGCATCCTTCCTTCTAAGTAAGGTGAAGGCAGGTAGAAGATCTTTTCCCTTCTACGTCGGCTATTTGAACCGCCGCAAACATTTTTTAAAGTGTTACGTGTTTTTTTTAAAGTATTAAAAATCTTTCTTCCGAAATGCATCACAGTTTCTTCCCCCTTCCCGCCATGTTTTTTTGTGTGCCTGTTATTGGTTTACATGAGGTTTACATAGGTAAACATAAGTTTATATAAGTAACCGAGGTTGATAAAGGACATTTTTTTCATTCTCCCCTCCCTCTTCTGGATAGGAGTGGTGCAGTGGCCTAGAGGTGGAGCTCTCGCCTCACAATCAGGAGGCTGTGAGTTCGATCCTAAGTAGAGGCAGATATTTCTCTCTCTCTGGGCACAATGAGAATATATCTGCTGAACAAAACTCCTCATTGGCGACAGGAAAGGCATACGGCCATTAAACACTCTGCTAGCTCCATTCAGTTGCCCCGACTCCACCCCGCAAGCAATTATGGGGTCGTTAAAAGATGATGATGATTCTGGATAGGATGAGTTTAAAAGCCTTTTTGCTCAATTCACATTGTGCAGAAATAAAGGCCGGCCTCAACTTATCACATTCTATGAGTGACTGAAGATAAAATGGCGCTAAAAAAGTGACTTACGATCAGTCCTTGTGCTTACGACAGTCATAGGATCCCTACAGTCGGGAGACCAAAATTTGGCTGCTTGGCATTTACAATGGTTGGGAATTCTTCAACAGCCATTTTTCAACTTCCCAGCTGACTTCTGACAAGCGAAGTCGATGGGGAAGCCAGATCTGCTTAACAATCTCAAGATTAACCACCATGGCCAAAACAGGTCATAAAATTGGGGCCCGGCTCACTTAACAACCATCTTGCTTAGCGATGAAAATTCTAGTCCCAATTGTAGTCATAAGCCAAGGACTATCTATAGTGTTATTGGCCTTTAGTTACTAAGCTGGTTAGATCCAAACAATAACTCAACCTTCCTCTATTGAAATATATCTTCCAACTGTTTATAGGATGAAATCTTACTTGAATCAACCAGGAATCTTTTTACAATAGTCGATGGGTGGGTCTGATCATAATTTAATTTAAACAAGTTTTTCTGGGGTTAAAGGATCCTTCCAGAATAATTTGTGCCCGGAATGAAAGACAAGCTAAGAACAGAAAAGAGAAAAATCAACAGTTTGCCTTTAGAACGACATCAGCAATATGAAAAACGAGCTCAAACAATAGATTTGTTTATCCTGGTCTCCGAATATACATAACCCAAGGCTAGAGAGCAACTGGGATAAACATTGTGAGTCCTTGTTAGCTTTTGAATGGCTTTTGGTGAGTTGCCAACCCTGAAGCTGTGTGGGTCAAAGAAGCCTCTTTTTTTGGTCCCTCAGATTATAGGTGAAAAACAGAGAGTCAGAGAACAAGGCAAGGGGTTCTTCCGTTTGCAAGGTCCTTCCCAACCATTCCCGAATCTTTCCAGATTTGATTTGGGCTGGGGAATTTTGCATGGCGCGTGCGTTTCCCTGCATCCATCTAAACTTCCAGCTGCAATCTGCTAGCACCAAAAAAAAAATGCGGCGAACATAACGCTGAAGAATCCAAGCATGTTTAAACATTTAAAAAAAAAAAAACTAACACATTTTTCTCCCTTTCTTCTTATAATTTAGACATCAGGGATGGGCAAGTAGATTGTGGTGATGCCAGAATTGTGTTGACGCTTGTCTACATTTCTTTCTTGGCCAGAATTACAAGAGCTTAAATTGGAAGCATTCCAGGGGTGAAATCCAGCAGGTTCTGACAGGTTCTGGAGAACTGGTAGCGGAAATTTTGAGCAGTTCGGAGAACCGGTAGCGGTAATTTTGAGTAGTTCAAGAACTGCTAGCGGACATTTTGAGTAGTTCGGAGAACCAGCAAATACCACCTCTGGCTGGTCCCAGAGTGAAGTGGGAATGGAGATTTTGCAGTATCCTTCCCCTGCCACGCCCACCAAGCCACGCCCACAGAACCGGTAGTAAAAAAAATTGGATTTCACCACTGAAGCATCCCCTTTTTAAAATTGTTAGGTGGTTTATATAAGATTAAGGGCTGAAGAAGTTTAAAAGAGAGATAAATATTGCTTCTAATTCATTGTGGTCATTTTACTCCTCAATTAAGAGTGTTCTTAAGCCTTAAAGTCAGTTTTTTAATCAACTATTTATATTTTGTTCCAGGATAGGAAGTTCACAGTTGATAAATACTGTATGTTTATTTTCAATCAAACAGTGTCTGCCATAAAACACACACTTTTGAATGTCATATATAGATCATGGTCTTTGTGTCTCATACAGTATCTCCCGGCGTGACACTGAATTCAAAAATTATGTTGCCCATCTCTGGTTCAAACCTTATTTATCTTAAATTAATTAAGAGAAACATTAATCCTTTGTGGCTGTTGTTTGTTTTCAGTGCAAGCTTCCTGCAGACCTTTCCCCAGAAAAAAAAACCAAAATCCACATTTTGAATTAATACTCATTTCATCCCTGTATCTTTTCTTTCTAATGCATTTGCTTCTTCTGTTCTGCGTTTTTTTAATTTTCTGTTTTGTTCGGTTTTCCTGAATGCAAAAAAGAGCCTGTATTCTCTTGACTGTTTTGGCAAATATTTTTTTTGGCAATTCTTTCTTGGAACTGATGAGCTAAGCTCCAAATACCATTCTGTTTTTATTCTGTCGACAGGCAGTTTGTGTCAGGATTGATGTCCCCAAAATGTTTAGCATCAGCATTTCAGTAAGCCACAGATTGTGCATATGTGGGTGTGTTTGTGCGCAAGCTGCATGTCTGGTTAACAGCTGAGTTTTTTCTCTCAGAGAGAGAGAGAGAGAGAGAGAGAGAGAGAGAGAAGGAGGGAGAGCAAGAGAGAGGAGAGAGGGAGGGAGCAGGCGAGAGGGAGAGGGGGGAGGGAAAGGGAGGGAGAGAGAAAGGGAGGGAGGGAGAAAGAGGAGAGGGGGAGGGAGAGAGAAAGGGAAGGAGGGAGAGGGAAAGAGAGGGAGAGGAAGAGAGGGAGTGGGGAGAGGGGGAGAGAGTGGGCAGAGAGAGGGGGAGAGAGAAGAATGGAGGGAGGGAGAGAGGAGGGGGAGGGAGAGAGAAAGGGAAGGAGGGGGAGAGAGGGAGAGTGGGGAGAGAGGAGGAGGAGTGAGAGAAGAATGGAGGGAGGGAGGGAGAGAGGAGGGAGGGAGAGAGAGGGAGGGAGGGAGAGAGAAAGGAAAGGAGGGAGAGAGGGAGAGAGTGGGGAGAGAGGGGAGAGAGGGGGAGAGAGAGAGAAGAATGGAGGGAGGGAGGGAGAGAGGAGGGGGAGAGAGGGAGAGAGAGGGAAGGAAGAGAGAAGAATGGAGGGAGGGAGGGAGAGGAAGGGAGAGAGAGAGAGAGAGAGAAAGGTTCATTTTTCTCTCTGTGTTTGTTTTTTTTTGGAATAACTTTTTAGGATATTTTTAAGGAGGGTTTTTTCATCCGATTGTTGATTTTCTCTGCGTCTCTTGACTGTTACAAACACAACAAAATGAGGGCAACAATAGGAATTTGAAGATGTAACCGGAGCTGTTTTCAGCTTTTCCCATCCTGACTGTTGAATCTTGGACCTTCAACATATAAGCAAGAATTTTACCATTGAGTTACACCTGGCTAGAGTCTATCTATAGCCAATCTATAATCAATGCCATCATCCATATTTAATGGGCTTTGCTTCCCTGTTAGTATTGCTATGTTCTCCTTCTAATACTTCATCCCTCGGGGATAGATAAGCAAAAGAGGTTGCTTAAAAAAAAATAGGAAGTTCCATCTGTTTTTAAAAATGGACTTTTTTTCTGCCCCAAAGCTGGGAAAGGAATAAGTAAAGAATTCGAAGGCATCCTTCATTCCTACCTTTAATCATGGAAAGCTTGATTGAAGAGCAAGGAATTTGGGGCAGGCTTATAAAGTAACATTTCCCATGTGGCATGAGAGAAGCTAAGTCAGTTCAATAGTGCAGATTTTATTCATTTTCCTGGCAGGAAATGAATGTATAACAATGAAGACTCATACTGAGGCAAGGAAACATTCAATATATGAGGTATGTGAGGTACAAACCAGGGGAGAAATCCAGCAGGTTCTGGAGAACCGGTAGCGGAAATTTTGAGCAGTTCGGAGAATTGGCAAATGCCACCTCTGGCTGGCCCCAGTGTGGGGTGGGAATGGAGATTTTGCAATATCTTTCCCCCAGGAGTGGGGAGGAAATGGGGATTTTGCAATATCCTTCCCTCAGGAATGGGGAGGGAATGGGGATTTTGCAATATCTTTCCCCCAGGAATGGGGAGGGAATGGGGATTTTGCAATATCCTTCCCCCAGGAGTGGGGTGGAAATGGAGACTTCCTTCCCCCAGAAGTGGGATGGAAATGGAGACTTTGCAATATCCTTCCCCCAGGAGTGGGGTGGAAATGGAGACTTTGCAATATCTTTCCCCCAGGAGTGGGGTGGAAATGGAGACTTTGCAATATCCTTCCCCCAGGAGTGGGGTGGAAATGGAGATTTTGCAGTATCCTTCCCCTGTCACGCCCACCAAGCCACACCATGCCCACCAAGCCCCACCCACAGAACCGATAGAAAAAAAAATTGGATTTCATCACTGGTACAAACTTACACACACCAACCAAGCAATTAATCAACTCACTTTTGATCATCCAGAAAGAGCTAGTAAATTATTTGGCAATCATTTTTTCTGGAACGGTCATTCTCGTTTTGAACGGACTTTGACTCTCGAAGTTTCTCAGATCGTATGAGAATTTATGGAGCTACTTATGTTTGTAGGCTCTCCAAATTGAGGAAAGTTGCTTTAGAGTTGGTTATTCCCCCGTTCTTGGCCAGAGTTGCACCATTGGTCTTGATCTGTGCCAGGGGTGAAATTTACATACCTTCGCTGCCGGTTCGCAAATATGAGCGTGCGCGCCTCCTCCACACATGCGGGGATCCTTCTGTGCATGCGCAGAGGGTCAAAAATAGGATGTGATGACGTCCGGGCGGGTAGGCGGAGCCTCCCGCTTCCGGCGCTACCAGTTCGCCTGATAGAACCAGCTGAATTTCACCACTGATCTGTGTTCTTCGCGGAAGGCAGCTCTGAAATTCGGGCAATCTAAAAAGTGTGAAGACATTGGTGTTGAAAAGCCCAGATGTTGACTTGAGAAATGCCCTTGATAGAAAGGGAGGGAGCTTTTAGAATTAGAATTAGAATTTTTTATTGGCCAAGTGTGATTGGATATACAAGGAATTTGTCTTGGTGGATACGCTCGCAATATACATAAAAGAAAAGATACATTCATCAAGAATCATAATTTCCACAGGAAATCTAAGAGAGAGACCATTGACATATTCCAGATTTCTCCTAAGCTGTTCTGTCCATTAGCCTTGACTTCAGTTGAAATATTGCTTAAAAGAGAAAGTTCTACGACATTACTAGCAAGGAACCGGATATATTTGCCTCTACAAGTATATGTGAGGGAAAATCACTTCCCTCTTAAATGTCTTCCTGTCTTTTGGATTTAGTATCCTGTCCTCGCATTTGTTCCTGAGGCCACCACATCTTCCGTAATTGTAAAATATTTCCTACTTGGTGGTCTCAGCTATAAAGGGGATGGACAGGCCATCCAACTATTGTCCTGTTCTCTAGAGCACAAATTTCCAAATATGGCAACTTCTAAGACTGAAGGACTTCAACGCCCAGAATTCCCCAGAGCCAGCCTGAAGTCCACAAGCATGGCTGGCTGGGGAATTCTGGGAGTTGAAGTCCACAAGTCTTACAATTGCCAACTTGGGAGACCCTCGCTCTACATAAAATGTCCTCTATCCTCAGTTGCAGAACTAGCCAGCTCGATGAATACCGTAGCTTAGGCAGGTATCTTTCTCAGCCCCATCGCCAAATGGCCGTTTATATTTTCAATATCCTTGGAAAAACATCCTTCAAATCCGAAAGCTTGGTTTTCTTGGAAGTAAACTCATTGTACCGAAATCGTTCTGAATCAACGCAATCCCCTCGCAGGTTTTCTCCTACGTTATTTCCATTTGGGGGGGCTTTGTCCCAGGGGTAGGCTGCTGGAGGTTCGCAGGGGTTCGAGAGAACCTCTAGCTAAGATTCTGTGAAGTTCAGAGAATCCCACTCCTGGCTGGCCCTGTCCCACCCACCCCTCCCCTCCCAGGAGTCCCTAGGCGGCCCATTTTGGATGCAGGTAAGTGCAGGGCCAGGGCGCACACAGAGGCTTGGGGAGGGCAAAAAACGGGCCTACTGGAAGTTTGTTTCCGGCCTCCAGAGGGCCTCCGCAGCCTGGGGAGGCTGTTTTTGCCCTCCCAGAGGCTCAAGGAAAGCCTCCGGAGCCCGGGGAGGTCAGAAACGCACCCCGCACTCCTGTGGTGCAGGTGGCTGACTAGGCCACACCCACCATGGCCACGCCCACCCAGCACAAGGCAGAGAACCCCTTGCTAAAATTTTTGAAGCCCACCCCTGCTTTGTCCTTATCTTGATGGGAAGCTTTTTTTAAAAAAAATAAGAAAAATAAACATCAAAACAATTCTGGTTAATGCTTTGTTTTTATTCTTTTTTTTTTTTTTGGCTTTCTTTTGTTGTTGTTACCCTTCTTTTACAGTAATCCTTGGCTATGTACTGAGTAGTTCCCCCCTGAATATACTGAGCTGGGATGTCGACCTTCACTTATTTATTGCTCTCTCGTTCAGCTATGGTCATCTCATGGGCTTTCCAGAACGCCATTTTATACTCTACGGCGCAAACAGTTTACATGATCTTTATTTGCTGTTTCGGTTGTATCGTGGAGCGTGCCTGACGTAAAAGACCGATATTGCAGCTTTTTTTTTTTTGTACATTGTGGATTGTTTAGGATGCCCACTGTAGGTCGCCTTACAAACCAGCCCACCTATCGTCAGCAAAAGTCTTTGCTAGGTTGATGTTGTATTTTGAAATGCCCATCTGCAGGGAATGGGGTGATGAATATGTGGTGCTATTGACATAGGCCTATCATCAAAATATAAATATTTTGATTTATAAATAAATAAAAAATATAGGGACGCAGGGGCTAAAATGCTGAGCTTGTCGATCGAAAAGTCAGCAGTTCAGCAGTTCGAATCCCTAGTGCCGCGTAATGGAGTGAGCTCCCGTGACTTGTCCCAGCTTCTGCCAACCTAGCAGTTTGAAAGCACATAAAAATGCAAGTAGAAAAATAAGGACCACCTTTGGTGGGAAGGTAACAGCGTTCCGTGCGCCTTCGGAGTTGAGTCATGTCGGCCACATGACCACGGAGACATCTTCGGACAGCGCTGGCTCTTCAGCTTTGAAAGGGAGATGAGTACCGTCCTCTAGAGTCAGGAACGACTAGCACATATGTGCGAAGGGAACCTTTTACCTTTACTATCATCAAAATCTCGTTGAGTGGCGAATAATGGGAAAAAATTGTTTGCAGTATCTGGATACACATGCCCTTTATTGTAAAAGTTGTGTTATTTCCCACTGCTGCCCTTTATTCATTTATTTGTAGGTGGGAGCAGGAATCACATGAATAAAGCCATTTTAATGAGTCGCGGGGGTTTATAAACAGTTTTTAATTAGATGATGGGCATACATTCCTTTAGGGGCAGTGTAGTTGCTCAACAGTTAAGGGATTGAGCTTGTCAGCTGAAGAGCTGTCAAACCGGGTTCGAGACCCCGGCACCACACGACGGGGTGAGCTCCCGTCCTCATCCCAGCTTCTCCCAACCTAGCAGTTCGAAAGCATGCAAATGCGAGTAGATAAACAGGTACCACTTTGGTGGGAAAGTAACAGCACTCCGTGATGTCATGCTGGCCACATCACCACAGAAACGTCTTCAGACAGTGCTGGCTTGAAAGGGAGATGAGCACCCTAAAGTCGGTCAACGACTAGCGGAGTAAAATCCACAAGGGACTCCGTACACCTCTTTGCTCAGAGCTCTTCCATTGCCCCAAACATGAAAACGAGGAGGAGATGAGACCAACGAAATTTAAGATCCAATTCTGGATTTCTAAGTTAACATGTGGGTTCCTGTAAAATAAAATCGTTCATGTTCCTGAACTTTTTCCAGCAGCAAGCAAAAGATGAGTTGCCTGTAGCTTCTTCGCCGTTGGGAAGAAAGACATGTTCTAAATATATTACAGATTGTGATTTTGTTTTAGATGATGACCAATTTAAGAACAGGGAAAATAGTTAAGTCTTGCTTATATTTCTGACTCTGCTACTCGCACCACGGGGTAAAAATAACATGGAAGAATCGTATATATTGTAGGGTCCTTGGTGCTCTCTGAGATTGGTGGGAGGTTTTTGTGCAGATGTTTCATGACCCAACATCATCTGATGTTACCTAGTTGGGTCATGAAAAGTCTGCAAGAAAACCGCCAAGCTCAGAGACCACCAAGGACCCCTCACTCAACCCTGAGCTCCAAATATCCTCTTCTATTGATATCTCATATACTGATACAACTTTTTCCCCAGGTTGAATGTTGACGGTCGAGAATTTTTTATTAATTTTATTTATAAATGAATTGAGGTTCAGTTTGAACTGTGCCCATATCCTCTGGGGTTTTTTTGTTTTTTTAAATGATCCTTTAGCCTACTCCAACTTGCTTCTCCATTAACGTGAAAGATTTCAGGCCCCATCATTGCCAGCTATAAGGGCCTTTTCCCACAGGGATGTGGAGTATGGGTTGTAAGAGTGGTGCGGTGGCCTAGAGGTGGAGCTCTCGCCTCACAATCAGGCGGCTGTGAGTTCGATCCTAGGTAGAGGCAGATATTTCTCTCTCTGGGCACCGTGAGAATATTATCTGCTGAACAAAACTCCGCATTGGTGACAGGCAAGGCATCCGGCCAGTAAACACTCTGCTAGCTCCATTCAGTGGCCCAGACTCCACCCCGCAAGGGATTATGGGGTCGTTAAACGAAAATGATGATGTGGAGTATGGGTTTTGAAGTTTAGAATGACTGAAAGATACCAGCTTAAAGATGGATGGTATCGAATATCAATTAACTGAAGTTCTGAATGATTTCCTACCTTGCTTAACCTCCTGTAATCACTGCAGGGAGTTTATTATCCTATCTTAGAGTTTAAATTGGGGTTGCCCCTTCTAAGTTTTTGTTCCTTTTCCAAAAAGCACATAATGCAAGGAGGAGATATTTTAGAATAGGGCGGGGAGCCAAATTTAAATCTTTTTCCTGCAGAACTAGGGTAAAGCTTCCATCCCCGAGGGGCAAAATATCCCCAAATTTCCAAATGTTGGGTATCAACCACAGAGAGCTCATTCAGCGAGTCTTCCTCTGTAATTCTGCCTCGCTTTTCTTCGGAATGTTTGCATTTGATTTGAAATCTATATGTGTTTGTATTGTGCCTTCCTGCGTTTTTTTCCACCCCCCCAAGAACCGTCTGCAGTCTTATCTACTAAAATGTGCACTCTACCAGGTAGTCCTCCTTTAGCGGCTGCCTCATTTAAGCAACCGCAGTGACAACGGTGAAGAGAAAATACCTTTGCAACCCATCCTCGCGTTTACGACTTTCGCAGATCTGCAAACGGGTGGGCTGCTGGGGGTTCGCAGGGGTTCGGGAGAACCTCTAGTAAGATTCTGTGCAGTTTGGAGAACCCCCAAATCCCACTCCTGGCTGGCCCCGCCCACCCCTCCCCTCCCAGGAGTCCCCACGCGGCCTGTTTTGGATGCAGGTAAGTACAGGGTGCGCGTGGAGGCTCGGGGAGGGCAAAAAACACGCCTACCGGAAGTTCGGGAAGTCCGGAAACGGGCCCATTTCTGGCCTCCAGAGGGCCTCCGGAGCCTGGGGAGGCCGTTTTCACCCTCCCAGAAGCTCGAGAAAAGCCTCCGGAGCCCAGGGAGGGCAACCCCGACTCCACCCCCGCCATAGTGCAGGAGGCTGAGTTGGCCACGCCCACCATGGCCACGCCCATCCAGCAACCAGGCAGAGAACCCCTTGCTAAAATTTTTGAAGCCCACCCCTGTATGCAAAGCAAAGGAAATCTGATGATCAGCATCGTCGCAGTTTTCACTTAGCCCTCGCTTCGTTTAATGACCGAGTCGCCGGTCCCAATTTTGGTCGCTAAACAAGGACTATCTGATATTTAATGTGGGTGTCCTCTTTTGACGGTGTTTTGCTGCTTGAGTTCCTAACAGGGCAGCGAAAAACAATAGATTAAAAAACCTGTTGTGGTTTTTTTTCTCCTTCTTTCCATTCGATTGTGTTCCTCAGTTGTCCATCATCTGCTTTGCCTTCGATTGCCTCTTTTTATCCCTCTGCCGTTGAACTGACAAAATCTTTCTTTCTTTTTTTCTCTTTTCTCTCTTTCCCTCTGTAGCTTTTTCTAACCTGTCTCCACCTGCTGCATTTTCTCTGAGAAGACGTCTACTTGAGCGAACGTAGGGATACCCATCCTGCTTGGGAAGGGAGGGGCAGACCGGAATAAATAAAAAGAAATTTTAGCCTGGAACAAAAAATGAAAAACATTTGGGTTTGTTGTTCTCCCACTCCTGTTTTTCCATGTTTGTGTGTGGGGTGGGGTGGGGTGTTTGGGATTTTATTTTCTTTTTTTTTTTCCAGCTGGGGTATCTTGTACTTTGTGAGACAAGATGGAAAAATAATGGGAAAGACGAGACATTTTCTACAGCCTCCCCCAAATATTGCAGTCCAAATTCATGAGGTGGCTACTTCACACTGAGACAGGACTTATTGTGGTTTATGGTTATTGTTAATCCCTTCCTAGTTTTGCCTGTCATGTTCATGTTTTTTCGAGTAGTGGAGGTTGGGGGGATAAAAATTGTCCTATTCCTTCATGGGTTGGTGTGGATAAAAAAATTATGCAACGAACAACACACAGGAAAAAACAAAAAAAAAGACTTTTGCTACCTCTGAGGAATATTTACTTTGAACGCTGAGTAAAAGGACAGCCAAGGAGTTAAAGAGGGGAAATTCTATTTTTCGGTGGGGAGGTGGGGAGGAAAGCCTTAGCTAACCTGCCATTTCAGTTTTAAAAAGTAACAAATATTTCCTAATTAAAATAAATAAATAAATTCGCTAAATGTTGTTTCTATTCAGCCTATTGCATTTGAGAACGGAAAAGTTCATGGTTTAAAAATCTCTCCTCCTGGATCCAGCTTCTTGTCCCGTAGAAACGATTCCTTCTGCTGTCTTTGCAAGAATTCTTAAAATGCACAAAGAAGCCTTAAGCATTTAAAGGAGAGAAAGAGAGATGTATTGTATAAAGACCTAAGTAGTATTATTGTTGTAGAATTAATTAATCCCCAAAGTTCTAACCCCTTTAAAACCTTTCCGAAGGGAGGGGGGAAAAAAACAGATGCTTCTATATTAAAGGTGGCGAGGGAAAAATAAATTGTAAATGCATCCTCTTGTTTTTCAAAGTTATCGTTGCAAGTCACGTGTCACGGCCCTTAAAAATGTACCTTAACGGAGAATTTTTGGGATTGTGTTTGGAACCATTCACTGCATGGCGTGGTTCCCAAGTATTCGTTTTTTCCTGTCTCTTCTTTTTTTTAAAAGACCTTTTGTTATGAACAGTTGTGATTGGACAGCTGCACTCGATATATATATATATATATATATATTTACATGATCCACGTGAGCGAACCAGCACTGTTGGACTTAATACCTTTCTAATGTTGTCAATTTTCAATAAAAACTTACCCTCCCGAAAGAAAAGTGTTTTCCTGGTCGTTATTTCCTTCTGTGGGTTTCTCCAATGGTCACGTTTAGATAGAATGACAAACAATCACATTCGCCTACACTTTGCAGTTGGCAAGCACCAGGTGAAGTTATAATATGGATTTGGAAGAATGGATCTTTCAGGTATCTAATGCTCCCCCAATTCCTTAAAACATAGAGGAACCACTTTTAAAAACAATTTCGTTCCAACTAATGAAGGTTTAGAGTCTCCAGAGATCTTCTGCAAGATATCCAATCATCAAGAGGAGATCAAGATCCATTCTCAGATCCTTCAGAGATGTCCTACAATGTGTCCCACCATCAGGAGGGGATCAAAATCCATTTTTGGACCCTCCAGAGATGTCCTACAATGTTTCCCACCATCAGGAGGGGATCGAAATCCATTCTCAGATCCTTCAGAGATGTCCTACAATGTGTCCCACCATCACGAGGAGATCAAGATCTATTCTCAGATCCTTCAGAGACGTCCTACAATGTGTCCCACCATCAGGAGGGGATCAAGATCCATTCTTGGACCCTCCAGAGATCATCTACAATGTGTCCAGCCATCGGAGGTGAAGGAGCAAGTAAGACCCATTTTCAACATAATTACTCAGTCTACCTGGTGGGACTCAAGCTTTCAATCCCTTCTTCCAGACCTTTCAGGTTTGACTAAATGAAGGATTAGAAACTGTCCCAACTCATAACAATCACATGCTGTGTAATGTTTATCACCTAAGTAAAGTTACTAGAGTTTTCTTCAGCGTATAAAGCTTTCCGGTTGGTTTTTCCAGCGAAATTCCCATGCCATCATTACTTTGTAAGTCATTTTCTTTTCTGATATTATAAGGTCAAAAGGGGATTCGGTATTCTGGAAGTTGGGAGTCTCCCTGCATTTAAGAAATAATACAAATGGTGAGTTCATTTGCCTCCGACTGCCCTCAAGATGTACTTCTGTTGTTAAATTCACACATTCTATTAAGCCATCATTCGGTCTGGCTTGGGGCTGTAGTGCATTTCAGTGCAATTGATGAGTCGTAGATGAAGGTTTATTCATATGTGAATTCTATGTGTGGATTATCCAACAAAACACACCTTAGAGCAGTGTTTCTCAACCTTGGTATCTTGAAGATGGGTAGACTTCAATTCCCAGAATCCCGGCTGGGGGATTCTGGGAGTTGAAGTCCACTCATCTTCAAGCTTCCAAGGTTGAGAAACACTGCCTTAGAGTGAATTGGAAGCTAATAGAGTTGGGAGTTGAAATCAACTTTGCTTGAGATCTGTAGAAGGTTTAGATAGCCTTCAACTTGTAAAGAAAGAACTCCAAGACCGATTTTGGTATATCATTGATTTTTTATATTTTTATTAACTCTCTTTCAAACTATGAGCTTCTCTTTCTCCCGGAATTCATACCATTCAGATGTGTTGGTTATGTTTGCAGAGGACGATGGGTTTTATAATCTTAACAAAATATTAAAGAGTTAGAAAGGGGCCTTGGAGGCCTTCTAGTCCAACCCCCTGCTCAAGCAGAAGATCCTACACCATTTCAGACAAACGGCTGTCTGATTTCTCTTTTTTTAAAAAAAATCTGCAGTGTCGACACACTCACAATTTCTGTTGCAATTTTGGGGAGGCATCGACTTTCAGGCTGTTTTGCTCAAAGCAAAATGTGTGCAAGGGATATTCTGGGTAGAAAACAAGGCAGCCTTGAGGGATATTCTGCCTAGAATAAAACAGTTAAAATAGAAAACTAGACTTCGTTTTAACCAACGCCAAAAAAAGAAAAGAAAAAGAAAATATGAAGAACGGTTGCAGGAACTGGGTATGTCTAGTTTAATGAAAAGAAGGACTAGAGGTGACATGATAGCAGTCTAGCGCTGATCTTTCTGGATGCACAAAAAGCGTTTGACCAAGTAAACTGGCAATTTATGAAGCAACAAATCAAAAGTATGAATTTTGGAGAAAGATTTACTGATAGCAGTCTTCCAATATCTCAGGGGCTGCCCCAAAGAAGAGGGAGTCCAGCTATTCTCCAAAGCACCTGAAGGCTAGGACAAGAAGCAATGGATGGATGGAAACTCATCAAGGACAGAAGCAACCTAGAACTCAGGAGAAATTTCCTGATGGCTAGAACAATTCATCCGTGGAACGACTTGCCACTAGAAGTTGTGGATGCTCCAACCCTGGAGGTTTCCCAAGAAGAGATTGGTCGACCATTTGTCTGAAATGATAAGAGAGTTTCCTGCTTGAGCAGGAGGTTGGACTAGACGATCTCCAAAGGTCCCTTCCAACGCTGTTATTCTGGATGAGTGACCATCTCTATAGACCAGTGTTTCTGATTGTTGGTAGCTTGAAGATGGGTGGACTTCAACTCCCAGAATCCCCCAGCCAGCGCTGCTGGCTGGGGGATTCTGGGAGTTGAAGTCCACCCATCTTCAAGCTACCAAGGTTGAGAAACACTGCTATAGACTTTGTATACTATATAGCTGTGGGGAGGGTCCTCCCAGGCGCTAGAGGCCGCTGTTTTGCAAAACGCGGCCAAGCGGAAACGTCCGCTCTGAGCCGCCCTTTCTCGGAAGCTCTCGGAGGGTTCCATCCACCCACGTGACCCGCGTGTAACAAGGAACGGCGGAACCAGCGAGCGATAGAGGGGGGGGGAGGAGAAAAAAAGGTTACATTGTAGCCGTCTTTCTGTCGCGCTCGCGCGCTGGCGCGCAGGCGCAGAAGAAGAAGAAGAAGAAGGGGGGGCAGGCCAGGAGAAGCGCGGCCTCCTGCACGTGTGAACGCGCGGTGGGACCCGTGTCGGGTCGGGATCGGCCCACGGAGGCGGCGGCGGCTTCTCCTCCTTGTTCTCCTTCCCGGGCCAGGAGGGGAGAAGTGGGGGGGGGGGGAAGAAAGCCTAACCTCGCGGTCCCTCCATGGCCGGCGGAGGCTGGACGCTGCCCGGCGGGGATTTCCTCTCCCCGCAGCCGCCGGCTTCCCAGCAGGAGCAACAGCCGCCGCCGCCGCCGCCTCCGGATGCCGCCACCGAGGCGAGGAAGCCGGCCTTGGAGCCTTGGCGGGAGGCTCAGGAGAGCGACCGGCATTGGGGTCTCCGACGGCAGTTCCTGCTCCGCAACCTGCCGGGCTACCCGGGCTCCGACGCCTTCCAGCAGCTGCTGGCCCTCTCGCACGTCTGGAGCAACCACGTCTTCATGGGCTGCAGGTGAGAGAGACGCCGCCTCCTCTTCCTCTTCTTCTTCATCTTCTTCCTCCTCTTCCTCCTCTTCTTCATCTTCCTCCTCCTCTTCCTCCTCTTCTTCCTCTTCTTCCTCCTCTTCTTCATCTTCCTCCTCTTCTTCCTCTTCCACTTCTTCCTCCTCTTCCTCCTCCTCCTCCTCCTCCTCCTCCCACTTCTTCCTCCTCCTCCTCCTCCTCTTCTTCCTCTTCCTCTTCTTCCTCCTCCTCCTCTTCTTCCTCTTCCACTTCTTCCTCCTCCTCTTCTTCTTCCTCTTCTTCTTCCTCTTCCTCCTCCCCCTCCTCTTCTTCCTCCTCTTCTTCTTCCTCTTCCTCCTCCCTCCTCCTCTTCTTATTTATTGTATTTATTTATTGGTTCGATTTATATGCCGCCCTTCTCCGGAGACTCAGGGTGGCTTACAATGCGTTAAGCAATAGCCTTCATACTTTTGTATAAACCTGCTTAGTAGGGCTTTGCCCCCCCCCCCAAAGCGGTGTTCTTTTTTATACAAAGTCAGCTTATTGCCCCCACAATCCGGGTCCTCATTTTACCTGCCTCGGAAGGATGGAAGGCTGAGTCAACCTTGAGCCTGGTGAGATTTGAACTCGCAGTAATTGCAGACAGCTGGTGTCACTTAACACCACTTTAATCTGCTGCACCACCAAGTCTCTTCCTCCTCCTCCTCCTTTTCCTCCTCTTCGGAGCCACAGCCCCAAGACTTTATAGGCCGCTTGGCAAGACAGCCCCTCTCTAAGTGGCTTTACAGAATCAGTCTCTTGCCCCCACCCAACAATCTGGGTCCTCGTTTTACCCACTTCGGAAGGCTGAGTCAAGCTTGAGCCGGTCAGGATCGAACTGCTGATAGTCGGTAGAGTAAGCCTGCATTCTAACCACTGGGAGAGAAGGAAGGAAGGAAGGTAGGCATAGCGTTTAGACTTATATACCGCTTTACAGCCCTCTCTAAGCAGTTTTACAGAGTCAGCCTCTTACCCCCAACAATCTGGGTCCTCATTTTCCCCACCTCAGAAGGACGGAAGGCTGAGTCAACCTTGATCCGGTCAGGATCGAACTGCTGTCAGTGGGCAGAGTTTGCCTGCAATACTGCATTTATCCACTGGGAGGGAAGGAAGGAAGGAAAATCGCCATAGCACTTAGACTTATATACCGCTTCATAGTGCTTTCACAGCCCTCTCTAAGCGGTTTTACAAAGTCAGCCCAGTGGTGAAATCCGGCCGGATCTATCTGGCTCGCGTGAACCGGTAGCGCTGGCGGCGGGAGGCTCCAACCACCCGCTGGGATGTCATTACGTCCCGTTTTTGGCCCTCTGCGCATGCGCAGAAGAGGCGCACACGCGCTCACATTCCCGAACCGGTAGCAAAGGTAAGTGCATTTCACCACTGAGTCAGCCTCTTGCTCCCAACAATCTGGGCCCTCATTTTACCCACCTCGGAAGGATGGAAGGCTGAGACAACCTGGAGCTGGACAGGATCAAACTGCTGGCAGTGAGCAGAGTCAGCCTGCAATAGCAAACAATAGCAATAGCACTTAGACTTATATGCCGCTTCACAGTGTTTTAGGGACCTCTCTAAGCGGTTTTTAGAGTCAGCCTATGGCCTCCGACAATCTGGGTCCTCATTTTACTGACCTTGGAAGGAAGGCCAAGTCAAGATTGGGCCGGTCAGGATCAAACTCCTGGCAGTCGGCAGAGTTAGTCTGCAATACTGCATTCTAGCCATGGGAAGGAAGGATGGATGGATGGAAAGAAGGAAGGAAAATAGCACTTAGACTGATGTACCACTTCATGATGCTTTATAGCCTCTCTAAGCAGTTTATAGAGTGAGCCTATTGCCCCCCAACAATCTGGGTCCTCATTTTACCGACCTCAGAAGGACAGAAGGCTGAATCAACCTTGAGCTGTTCGGGATCGAACTCCTGGCAGTGGGCAGAGTTAGCAATAGCACTTCTATTCCGCTTCACGGTGCTTTACAGCCCTCTCTAAGCGGTTTACAGAGTCGGCCTATTGCCCCCTAACAATCGGGGTCCTCATTTTACCGACCTCGGAAGGACAGAAAGCTGAGTCAACCTTGAGTCAGTCAGTTGGGATTGAACTCCTGAAAAAAAGAGGGTTAACTTTTTGGGAATCCTAATCCCACTTGTGCAGGAAACAATTTGGAGATAAACATAAGCCTCAAAAACTCTGCCTGGAAAAAGCAGCTTGGCGAATCCAAAGGGTCAGGCTGGGAAAATCTCTTTTACAGTAGTGGCCAAAATTGTGGAAACCTTTTGGTGAAAGTGTGTTTTCTAAAACTAGCTAATAACCCCACTTTTTTTTTTTTTTTGAGTAGTACCATAAAATTATATATCAATGGAAAGATAATTGAATCAAGAATGTAATGCAATCACTTTGATGAAGGATTTGCTATCAGAATAGCAGTTACAGTAGAAAGGAAAAAAGTGAAACACGTAGAAAAAACGAGATATACAAAAATGATCACCATAGAAAAAACGAGATATACAGTACAAAAATGATCACCATGTCAGTTAATACTTAGTTGGGTAACCTTTAGCATGAATTCTGGCCTTATAACGTCTCCCAATGGAGTGAACCAAGTCTTTTAGTTCTGCAGCTGTTCTAATGTGAAACCAAGATTGAAGGATGGCTTCTATTAACTGGGTTTTATTGCTGGGTCGCTTCTGACTAACAAGTTTCTTTTGTCAGCTCCATAGATTTTCAATTGGGTTAAGGTCTGGGCTTAACCCAAGGCCATTTCAGCAGTGGAATAGGATTATCTTGAACCGCCAAAAATTTAAAAAAAAGTGGGGTTATTAGCCATCAATCCTCAAAAATGCACTCTTCAATCCAGTTCAGAAATAGAGGAGGAAATATCACATGGTTTTTTTTCTTATTTATTTATTGGTTTGATTTATATGCCGCCCTTCTCCGGAGACTCAGGGCATCTTACAATGCGTTAAGCAATAGCCTTCATACTTTTGTATATACCTGCTTAGTAGGGCTTTTGGGGGGCCCCTAAGCGGTGTTCTTTTTTATACAAAGTTGTCTTATTGCCCCCACAATCCGGGTCCTCATTTTACCTACCTCGGAAGGATGGAAGGCTGAGTCAACCTTGAGCCTGGTGAGAATTGAACTTGCAGTAGTTGCAGGCAGCTGGTGCTACTTAACAGTACTTTAGTCTGCTGCGCCATCAAGGCTCTTTACAGGGTTGTGTTTACAGGGTTATGTGGAGCCGTGCTTGCTAAACTCTGGTTTAAACCACAGTGACGTGAATTCACAGGTGCTAAGCCAAGAAAGAAATTAACTTTGGTGCTTTAGTTTCTTGTGTGTGTGTGTAGAATCAGATTAATATTTCAGATCCTACGTATAAATTAACCTAAGATATTATGAGGGGACAGGCTCACTGGTTTAAAAAAAAAGAAAGATTTTTCTTAAGGGTGACAAGTTGTGATCCTCCACAGATGGATAAAAACATCAACTCCCAGATTTCTTTCCATTATTGGCTGTGCTTTCTAGAGATGTTTCTTTCTCTCACACCTCCAAAATTCATATTTTGGGGCAAATTAGATCCAGGTTGTAGTTAAATTTGTAGACAATTTCTCATCCCCACTCTTTTCAAAGCCCTTTTAAAGCTAAAATTTGCTTTGAACATTTCAGTCCAAGATTGACTTGTTTATTTACCAACTGAATTACCTTATAGCAGAGTTTGCAGTTCAGAATATTCTTTAATAGAAATCCAGGCCCTAGGGAACGAGTGGATCTCCAGCCTTTTTGAAATACCCATCATAAATTTTATTTATAATCCTTGAGCAGTCAAGTCAATGCAAATCAAATAAACAAACAAGTGTAATATAGACAAAGACAACAAATACAGCGCTCACTCAGTTTCATTCTTTATTTTAAAAAAATCTATCCAAGAAACCAAAATTCTGCCAAAGCAGAAATGTCTCTGCCATCCTGAAGACATAAATAGGCTGGTATTAAATTTATCAGTAATGGAAAAAAGATTGCAGCTATATTGTTGACTATAAGTAGCAAATATACTTATATGTGTTATAAGTATATTTGGCCGAAGGACTGGACGAATGAGCCAGAGTAGCCCAGATTTGGAGAAAAGAGCTTAAGGAGAGAAAACTAAATTTGTCACTTGTTAAACCAACTTCTTGGGACGCGGTGGCTCAGTGGCTAAGATGCTGAGCTTCTCGATTGAGAGGTCGGCAGTTCAGCGGTTCAAATCCCCAGTGCCGCGTAATGGGGTGAGCTCCTGTGACTTGTCCCAGCTTCTGCCAACCTAACTGTTCGAAAGCACATAAAAAATGCAAGTAGAAAAATAGGGACCACCTTTGGTGGGAAGGTAACAGCGTTCCGTGTGTCTTTGGCGTTGAGTCATGCTGGCCATATGACCACGGAGACGTCTTCGGACAGCGCTGGCTCTTCGGCTTTGAAACAGAGATGAGCACTGCCCCCTAGAGTCGGGAACGACCAGCACATACGTGCGAAGGGAACCTTTATCTTTACCTTAAACCAACTGAAATAGCTGTGCAATCCCCAGAAAAGATGCAGCTGCTTTAAGACGTTGGAGATGTGATTTGAACGTTACCCTGTCAACCAATCTTTTTGACTCCCAATCAGAAGCACATCACACTGTTGTACCTGCAGGGTAGAATCTCTGACACAGCTCTAAAGGAGAATAACTTTTATCTTTGCTCGTTCGGTGTCCGTTTTTAACTGACCGATTCATTCCAGATTTAATGTTCAACTGCCGTTTCACGATGGAAGGGAATGATGTGAGTCAGTCTCTCTCTCTCTCTTTCTTTGCCATCTCAGTACAGATTTGGTGGTTTCCTTTAGCAGTTATTTCAAATATGCTCCTCTTTCATCTTAAGCCCCATTAAACATTCTACGAGGCTTCTGAAAATAATAAGTTTACTTCCATGGTTTCTCGCCTAAGAATTTGCTGTTCAAATGGCAAAGATGTTCAGAGTTGAACCATTTTCCTGAAAGATGGGAAGGATCTTTTCAGATCAAAAGTCTTCCGTTAAATGAGCTACGAGTTGACCCCTTCCTTTCCTTAACCGCAGGTATGGCTCCCAAATTATGGAGAAAATCCTGCAGATGGCGGAAGGCATCGATATTGGTGAGATGCCATCCTTTGAGTTGGTGCCGGGCACGAAGTCAGCCAAAAGACCACGATCCCCGCGCAATGACTCTCCACAAAGTGAGTATCTTCATTTCTTTTTTAAACACAGTTTCCCTCCCTACAAAATTTTTTTGGGGGGGAAGCAGAATAACAAGAGTTGGGAGGGACCTTGGAGGTGGTCTACTCGTAGGGGTTTTGGTGGCACAGCTGCATAGGTAATTCAGCTTGTCATGGTTAAGAATAGTATGTACCAGAACTCCCAACAAGTGTAGTGATGTGTAGGAGAAGAAGAGGCAGAGGCTGGGGGCGGAGTCAAAAGAGGACTTAGCTTAGAATCCTTACATGTCCACAAATGCTCCCAGTCTAATCCCCTCCAAATTCTGTTAACTCTTATAATTACCTAGCATTACTTGAATGCTATTAATTGACTAGATTCTTGTGTATAGGCACCAGCAATAAATATTTTTAACTAAAAACCTATAGTCCAGAGACAATGAATTCTAGTCCCGCCTTAGGCGTGAAGCTGGGTGACTTTGGTCCATTCGTCAGGAGGCGATGAATTCTAGTCCCACCTTAGGCATGAAATGCATCTGAATGAATTGAGTATTTTTCTGGTGAGACCTCAGGGCAACCTGGTCTACCCAAATATGAGATGGAGCATACTGCTTCCGCTTTCGTCTTTTAGCCCCAACCCAGGACCCTTTGCGGGCTTTCGCTTCCACGACAAACTATTTTGTCTAAATTTAAATTTAGACAAAATACAGACAAAATTTAACACAGAATACTGTGTTAAATTTAAATTTAAATTTAACACAGTATTCTCAGTCCCATATTTGGGTAGACCAGGTTGCCCTGATAGATCGGTCTAACCGGAAAAATACTTCCCCCTGGTACAGCCAACAAAGCGAGGAGAGCCCGTGGCCTAGAGGTTAATACATCTGCCTAATATGCAAGCGGCCTGGGTTCGAATCCCAGAAGGGTATGGCTAACTGATGAGAGCTAGAAAGCTTGAAATAACTATACTAGTCTCCCTTTATTTCTTTGTTGATAAATTTAAATTGAACACATCTGAATGAATATTAGACAGAGGCGGGTATCCTTGTAAGTTCGCCATAAAAACATGGGACCTCAAGTCCGGAATGTCTCCTTTTCATTTTGACTTGCCATTTTGCACGAATTTTAACCTTGAAGAGCTACCGTATTTTTCGGAGTATAAGATGCACCGGAGTATAAGATGCACCTTGGTTTTTGGGGAGGAAAATAAGAAAAAAGCTGACTGACGGGTGGATGGCCTCCCGGAATATGCCCAATCATCTGTTCCCAGAAGTGAATTTTAGCAACAGGTTCGTTGGTTGTGAGCTCTGTGCCTTGGTTTTTTTTTTTTTCAGCCCTGAAACTTCTGAAACTCTTTCAGAAAAAACTTTTTTTTCTGCCTCTGAAAGCCTCCGAAACAGAGCTTCAGGGAAAAAAAAGTTTTTTTTCTGAAGCTCTGTTTGGAGGTTTTTTTTCTGAAGCTCAGTTTCAGAGGCTTTTTTTCTGAAGCGTCCTTTCAGAGGCTTTTTTCAGCCTCTGAAACCTGCGTTTGAGAGGCTGGGCAGGGCTACATTCGGAGTATAAGACACATCCAGATTTTCACCCTTTTTTGGGGGGGAAATGTGGGTCTTATACTCCGAAAAATACGGTAATCATTTTTCTCAGCATTGCTGAAAATAACTTCTTGTGGATTTCTGTTCCCTAGACTGCAAGAATCCAAGAAAGCAAGCTCCCAAATTCCGCGTCCGGCCGCGCTTTGAGCCAATCCACTTTGTCGCCAGCAACACTCAACCGCAGGCAAAAGAGGAGTCTTCGGAAAACCAAGTCCAAGACACTTCGGAGAACATCACGGCCCAGCAGATCCAAACCTATGCTGATCGGGTGTTTAGCAGCTTCAGCACCCAAGATGGGGACCTCCAGTTCTCAAGTTCAGTAGGCCTTGGCTATGGAAGTAGCCAGGTCAAACCACCTGACTCTAAAGTGGCTCTCATGAGTACAGAGACTTCTACTGCTGGGGCTACGATAACTTCGTCGGACTCTCCACTTCTTCAACCCTCTTCCGAAACGTTCCCCAAATCGGTGGTAACAGCCAAACAGTGTTTCATTAACAAGCTTGTAACAGCAGTCCGCAACAATCTCGCCAACCCCAATTGTAGCGGTGGGCCGGACAAAATTAACTACACGTATCTTTTGACGCGGTCGATTCAGGCTTGTAAGACCAACCCGGAGTATATTTATTCTCCCTTGAAGGACATTTCTCCCGCTGACCTTCCCAAGAAGAAGAAGATCCTCAAAGAAGGTTTTGCCTGCGAGGTGAGGTGCCAGAACGTCTATCTGACCACAGGCTACGCGGGTAGCAAAAACGGTTCCAGAGACCGGGCCACAGAGCTAGCGGTGATACTGTTGCAGAAACCCGTTGAAGTCAAAGTGGTTCAGCGGAAATTCAAGAATGCCACGCGGGAAGATTTGGTGGTGTGCGAAAGTGGGACGTCTCCTCTTGAATTCCCGCCAGCACTCAAACCGCCGGATGATACGAACCCCCCTGCAAAGGACAGTGTATCGGGACAGCCAGATTCGGATCCACAACAAGGGCCCAGCTCAGCCAAACACTGGACTAACTTTGTCCTCACCGAAAACGCCAGCGACGCCATTGGCATTTTGAACAATTCTGCCTCCTTTAACAAAATGACGGTGGAGTACAAATACGTGTTGCTGCCCAACCGTCTCTGGCGTTGCAGCGTCTATTTGCAAGGCCACTTCTTAGCTGAAGGCTGTGGCACCAAGAAAACCAGCAAGCACGCCGCGGCGGATGAAGCCGTGAAAATCTTGCAGAAGACGCAGTCCAACGTCAGCGCCACCAAAGCAGTCCAGGTTCAGAAAGTCGGCGGGGCTGCCCGCAACCCGGCAAAGAAGAAGAACTTGAAGGACCTGGTGGTGTACGAAAACTCCATGAATCCGGTCTGCACTCTGAACGACACTGCTCAGTTCAACAAGATGACGGTGGAATACGTCTTCGAAAGGGTGACCGGCATGCGATGGAAGTGCAAAGTGATGCTGGAGAACGAATTGATCGCCGAAGCCATCGGCGTCAAGAAGACCGTCAAGCACGTGGCCGCCGAGGAGGCCGTGAAAGTCCTCAAGAAGACCCAGCCGACCGTGGTCAACAATTTGAAAAAAGGCACCATCGAAGATGTCATTTCCCGGAACGAGATTTGCGGCCGCTCGGCCGAAGAGGCCTTGAAGCAACAGATTAAGGAAGACAACATCGGGAATCAGATTTTAAGGAAGATGGGCTGGACGGGGGGTGGCTTGGGCAAAAGCGGGGAAGGGATCCGGGAGCCCATCGCGGTGAAGGAGCAGTTCAAACGGGAAGGGCTGGGACTGGATGTCGAAAGAGGTTCCCAGATCACTAAAAAAGATATCGAGCAGATCATCCAAAATTACGCTTTCTCGGACAGGAAGATCGATCTGACTTTTTCCACGGAACTCACCAACGACGAGCGGAAACAGATCCATCAGATTGCCCAAAGATACGGGCTGAAAAGCAAGTCCCACGGCCAGGGCAGGGATAGGTACCTAGTGGTCAGCCGAAAAAGGCGTAAAGAAGATTTGCTCGACCAGCTGAAGCAGGACGGTCAAGTGGGCCATTACGAACTCATCATGCCACAGGAGAAATAGGGAGAGAACCTAAAAAAAAAAAAAATTCCCATGGGGAGGGGGGTCTGGACAGGAACCTGGTTTCCATTAAACGGGGGGGAGAAAAAAAACAACAGACAATGTATATTATTGTTGGAAAAAAAAAACCCAGGTCAAATGTTTCCCCTGCTTATTTTAATTTCTTTATACTACTTGAGAAATCGTCTGTCCGATTTTATGTCGTGCAATCCGGATAGCATCTGTGCCTGTTTTTAAGAATCTCTCAAATGTGACATTTCCTCCCCCCCCCCCCCCTTCGGTTTTTTTTAATTTGGTAAAGAAGAGAAATCGCTATTGGAAAAGGGAAGAGAGAGACTGGCACAATTTTAAAAAGAATATTTTTTTTTTTTCTTTTTTTAAAAAAAAAAAAAAAGAAAAAAAAAGAGAGGGGATGTAGAAAGACAGCCGTATAAAGAGAACTAATATGTAAAGTGGATCTTAAGAATAAATAAGATTTTTTTTATGGCTGGGCATGCATGGGAGGGCATGTTTTATATTTAAAAAGGGCAGGCATAGGGGCACAAAACTTATTTTCAGCGTATTCAGAAATGGTACCACTACAGTATTTGACCTCTTGGGTTGAACTTGAACTTGCAGGCCAGAAGAGGCTGCAAAATTAGCAAATCCTAAAAAATATTTTTTTTTTCTTAACTATCCGACATCTAGCTTAGTCCCGATTCACTGTTTCCTTGGACAAAGTGTATGATTTTTTTTTTTTTGTTCACAACGAAGGGTTTAAAACTCTAGTCTTTCATCGACTTCAGCGGAGGGGGAAAAAAATTGCACCTGGCCAAAATCTCTCTTACAAGTTTCTAGCCCTCTGGATTAAAGCCAAGAAGCGGAAGCTCAGGGATCCACAGATGGTGAATGCCACGTTGTTGGGGTATATATGGATGTTGGATTTATCTCTTGGCTCTGTAGTATCGGAGTTAACAAATTAGCAAAAGGCTTGTTGCCCGATTTGTGCAATTCCCAGCAGATCCATCATTTGTGATATGATGCAGGGGAGGTGGGCTTCTACATTTTGAAACCAGGCAAATACATTATTGTGTTTTCCATCGGCTTTAAGAGGAGGGGAGCATTTCATGTACTACCCTGTCAAGCTTATTTTCATCGGAACGGACAGGATGGGAGTTTCACTACTTTCTCTCGGAAGCCTCTACGTATTACCCCTTTGTGTAAATGTGCTTGTATATTTTCACGGGGAGATCAGCAAGTAAAAGGTTCTCTCGCTGAAGTTGTTTGTGGTTTTGTGCACAGTAATTTTTTTTAAAAATCCTCTTTACAGGCTTTTTTTCCGGCGACATGGGCTGCCGAAGGATACCAAGACTTTTGTTTTTTCCCCCGTTTCGTTCAATCCTTCCATTGTTTTACTGTGGCATTGAGCTTTTGCTAGGCTGGAAACAATACACCCAACGGAAGAATTATTTTAGGGAATGATTCCGCATCGTTTTGTATTTTGAAGGCGAAAAAGGAGTTTTGAGTTTAAAAAAAAAACAAAACCTTTAGCATGAGGGAAAGCGAGAATTTTTTTTTTTAAAAAAATGGATTAGGACTTTGCAATGCTTTAGGGTGCACTGGAGCACGCCTGCATTTGCAGGAAAAGATAAAAAAGAATTGCAGACAGGAGCTAGACTGGCTGTTGACTCCACAAAAAGAATTACACAGCCCTATTGTGTATATTTTTTTTTTCCCCACACAAGGCAATATCTGAGCTACATTGCTCAATCTCCCTTGATCTCCAGGTGTAATTGGCTTGTAACAGAACTTCTCATTCAGCCAGGCCAAACTTCTGGCAGAGGTTGGGTGAAGCCAATTCATCTTACCTACAACATTATTTCACCTGTTTAAACTCTTGGGTCTTGCCACCGGTGTGCATGTCCGTTTTTTTCAACTTATAAGCCTCTGCAGTGTTTAAAAGACAGGTGGCTGGAAAACATAAGGCATTGTGGAGGCAGTAAAGGCACTCAATTTCCCTTTAAAAAAAAAAAAAAAACCAAGAAAGGAGATTTAAGGGACGTCCCAACTCATGAAAGGCAAAGTCACACTAGCCTGTTTTACCTGTTGCAGTAAGGGACGTAACACACACAAAAAATATGCTTAAGAGACAGACCATGTACTATTTCTCCTCAGCTAATAGTTTGTGGGATGCTCCAGAAATTACTATAAACCATCCTTATTTATGTAATTGGCTCTAAGCGTTCCTGAAAGTGTAGAGCGTATTCTTTTATCTATAACCAGAATCTAGAGAGAGGGAAATATTTGGCCTAATGAGCTATCGGGACTTATTAAATGGTCCCTCGATTTGCGAGATCAACTTGTCTTGTAGCCAAACGCAGAGCGATGCAACGTCGTCTTCCTTCAACAATTAAGCATTTCGGTTACACATTTATTTACAAGTCATTGAAAAATGTACAGTTTCTTACATGGGTTACTTGTGCAAAGTTGTACTCCAGAGTTCATGTATACATAGAAGACACTGGTAGAGCGGACAAAAACCCACCGACTGGTCTCCTCCCACACTGCTGATTAAAGTACAAACCCGGCTACACACGCACACAAAACCCAAATGTGAAACAACCCTGTAAATCAGGCAGAGGGGAAGGCAAGGAAGAAGGGAACAGAATAGACACATGCTGCAGTAGCATTTGCAAACTTTTTTCCCCCTTTCCTTTTCTCCCAAACAGTAAGCAAAGCTGTAACAATCTCATTTCCTTCCCTCCCTACTCCCCAGGTTAAGAGGTAGAAATTAAAAATCATAGAAGGGAGGGAAATTTGGGGGGGGGGGGAAGGTTTTTTGAAGCATTTGAAGTTTGCCCTTAACGCACCCGTTTGGCCACCAACTCTCGACTCCTGTACTCGCCCACAACTCCACTCAAAAGCGTGAGCACCTTTTGAAAGTGCCCGTTAATTTGCGTTTACGTCCACGCGTAACACCAATCAATCACCTTGCACCTGACCCATAAAAAGCAGGGATCGGCCCTCTGCCGCCACCCCCCACCTCCCTCCCAGCACCCCCCCACCCCACCCCTAGCTTGACTTGGAAATCGGTTCTGCAAAAAACCCACGCAGCTGGAAAAAAAAAAAGAAGCTCGAGAGGGGAAAATGGAAAAGCAGCACACCCCTTTTCTTCCATAAAATACTCACAGATGTCGTGACGTTGAAACCCAACTGTTAAATGACCAGCTTCAGACAGATCAGCAACTCAAGTCATAGTTAAAAATGTATATTGTATATAAACATCCTTTTTTTTTTTTTTGCTCTCTTTCGACTCAAGCTACACGTAAGCGTCACTGTGTATAACACAATTACAATTAAAAGCTTAAGTGTACACTACGGGGAAAGGGGGGAAGGAGGAAAAAAAAAAAAAGCACAATACTGCCCCTAAGACTGGCGATGGTAGACCCCAGCCCGACCCCACAGGAAGTGGAAATTCAGCCTCAGACATTCTTTTAACAAGTAACCCAAGTACAGTACATTTGACCTCAAGGGGAAGGTGGGGGGGGGGGGGAAGGGGGGGTTGGGTTTTTTTTTTTTTGTTGTCAAAAGAAAAAAAAAAAAAGAAGAAGAAGAGATCCAGCGAGGGAAGTTGGCAACGGCACAGACAGCTAGTTTTGCTTTCCGAGTAAATGCAGTGATGCGAAGAGGAGGAGGAGGAGGAAGAGGAGGAGGAGGTGGTGACTCAGACACTTCATACATATATTTTCCTCATCAGAGTGTTCATTTGCATCAGCCAAGGTCAACAGTCACGCCAGCTCTGTTCTACTATGGCAGAAACTCGCTTTTCGTATTCCCGCTTATTCTCCTGGTATAGCTGAGCCGCTTGGCTGTTTGCCGGGCTGTTTGGGTTAGGCTCATCCAGTAAAGACTGTTTTTTGGAAGAGGGAAAAAAGAAGAGGGGGAGGGGGAGAAAGGAAAAGGAAAAAAATAAAAGATGGTCAGCCTTGATCAGGTTTTCATGCCAATATACCGAGCGCGGCCATGGTTAAAAATTCAAAACGTTTTTTGAGTGCTGGAGGTACGTTAAGAATACTCCTGGGATGTTTTTAATACTCCTTTTTTTTTAACCTTGTACCTACGCCACCACATTTAACGCAGCCAGATTGGCATGAAACAAATGTTATACGGCCTCTTTGGGGAACCAAAAAGATTTGCTCTTGCAATCAAGCACAGGCAGTTCTTCGAGTTACGACCATAATATGGAGCCCCAAATTTTAGGCTTCTAAAGTGGAACATTTGTGAAGGGAGTTTTGCCCCATTTTACGGCTTTTCTTGGCACAGTTGTTAAGTGAATCATTGCACTGGTTAAGTTACGTCACATGGTTGTTAAGTGGATCTGGATCCTCCCACGGACTCTGCTTGTCAGAAGGCAGCTGATCACATACTGTGTTTCTCCAAAAATAAGATCCTGTCTTATATTTTTTTTGACCCCCGAAATAAGCGCTTGGCCTTATTTTCGGGGAGGTCTTATTATTTTGGGGCGCATGGAACAAGACGGAATTCCCCTTGCCGTCTTACCTGATTACCTGACTAGAGGAAACGGCCGGGACCGGCTGCGTATGCGTTTAAATATTTTCGGGGAGGGCTTATTTTCGGGGTGGGGTGTATTTTCGCGCATGCGCTCAAAAGCCGGATTGGCCTTATTAGCAGGGGATGTCTAATTTTCAGGGAAACACGGTAAATACAATGCTACAACGGTTGTAAGCGTGAAAAACTCTCATAAGTCACTTTTTTCCAGTGCCAGGGTAACTTTGAACAGTCCCTAAACTGTTGTAAGTTGAGGACTACCTGTACTCCCTTATGTTCACAACAGGAATTTGCAAGAAACAATTAAAAAAAACAACAACACCAGGCTAAAGAATTTGCAATCTGTTCAAAGCCACATTTTAACAGCTCCTCTTATTCCTTTCAAGTAAGGTTTTATGCAGTAAGTCTGTAACAATTCTCAGTCATCCGAGTCATGGTTTCCCCAAAGATGCTTTTTCAAGAGGCAACTGGACTTTGTTTTTTTTCTTTGAGGATGTTTTGCTTCTGATCCAAGAAGCTTCTTCCGCTCGGAATGGATGTAAGGACTGATAGTCCTTGCAGACAGCTGGTCATTTGCATCCTTTTTGAGGGTCGTTGAAGTGTTCTGACTTAGGCTTCCGGAGTCATTAAAACACACGAGTAGTCCCCAAAACCTCTTTTATTGCAACAGCTGTGAATTCTGTTCATTCAGAGATGAGTCCCAATTAGTTATAAAGAGTCCTTCGGGAGAAGTCCTTTATCTCCCTTGACACGCTGCCAAAGACCTAATTGGCAAAGCCACACAGAATCTAGAATCAAACAGAGCTTCAGACTTTAAACTGAACAGAATTAACAAACGTTGCTTCCTGCAAAGGCCCACATTTCTTTGCTCCTCTTTTAACTCTTATGGGAGGGGCCAATCATCTCCCAGCCTTACTCCCGAGTCATCCCTTTTGTTTTAGCTGTTCTTGCCTTCTGGCAGCTCTGCGCATGCGCACACTGGGAACAGGCTCCCCATTCCTCTGCCTCGTTGAGGTCCGACTCTGGAGGCTCCAGAGGCAGCACGTACGTCCCAGATGGCCCTTTCTCTGCCTCTGACGCAGAGCCCTTGTCCGAGCCTTCCCCAGACTCCAGACTGGCCCATGTTCCTCCCCAGCCTCCTCCACAGGCTGCTGGCGGACTACAGCATGAAGCACTTGGAGGCTTATCTGTGTCTTCAGGGTCAGGGACCCTCTAAAAGGATGCAAATGATCAGCTTTCTGCAAGGAATATCAATCCTTCCATTCCCCACCATCCAGTCAGAGCTGAAGAAGCTTCTCGGGTGAGAAACGAAACATCTTCAAAGAAAAAAAACAAGAAAGTCCAGTTGCCTCTTGAAAAAAGCACCTTTGGGACATTTTATGCAATAGCTCCTTTTCGGAGAGTCAAAACAATGCACTAAGATCCTTGAAGCACTGAATACCTATCATCATACGCCCATGGGCCTATTGATTCAAAACCTACCAAATTTTAGCTTCCTCCGAACAAGACTTTTTGACTATCCTTTTTCATTAAATCGGCTTAGAAACCAGCACAATGGGAGCCAGTTATCTCAGCCAATTACTTCGAATTCCAAATGATACTGGAAAGTTGCATCCCTTAACTGAATTGCACAGCGCCTGCGACGATCAGTCTACGAAGCTTCGAAAAGTACCAGCAAACAACTAACATTACCTGTATGGATGTTAAGATGGATGACACATCGTAGGTAGGGCTCCAACGGTTTTGAAGAATATCCAGACATATACTACCATCTGCATAGACTAAAAGGAGAATGTGTGGGTTTTTTTACAATGGGAAGGGTTGCGCCCGGCTTAACAAACACTCTGCCTGTCCATCTGAAGTCACCCCACAAGAAGAACCGGATTCTGACCACAGGCTCCGAGCTGAGCCCTTAAATTCTTCCAGTCCCTCTTACATTTTATGACCTCACAATTCTTTGTGGCTATGAAATTATTCGTAGTATGATGACATGTCAACCAAATATTAAGGCCGCATATTTTTTCAAAGATCTATGGAAACCTAATAACACATAATTATAGCCGCTAAGCTACCTTTTGTAAATATTCACTTATCTCTTTATTATAGGATTCTATCGGCTCTTTTCAATTTTCAGTGGTGTATTGAACACCCAGGAAACCCACAGCTGAAATAATATAATTATGAGGAGTTAACTATCTACCTGTCCCTAAACTGATGGGAGGCAATGATTTTGTAGCCCATAACAACCTAATCAACATGGACAACTGAGATCTAGAGAGAACTCTTGACCTTCCTAGATTCCTTGTCCACAAATCTATTTTGTGAAGAGATCAGACTTCAAAATGGGAACAATAAATGTGGTTGTTTGCTTTTTTAAAAAATGTGGGAGGATCCCTCAAACCCACGCTTGTTTTATCACCACAAGGAACACCTTATTCAACTTGCTTTTTTACGAAAGCAGATTATTTTAGGGCCTCAAAAACATTTTTCAACAAAGTCAGTCATTGTTGACTCCATGTGTTCCATAAAGAAACAATACGCTCTTCTGTATTGCGTGTTTCTTGTTTAACCAGAATCTCTTATCTACTTAATATGATTGAGATGAATCTCTAGTAACACCTTCGGGTCATTTTATACTGCAGGATTACAGATGCCTCTAAAGGAGTCGCAGCCTTCTTTCACCCCTGCAGGAATGTTAAGATTTTATAAGCTAGCTTCTCTCAAACTGTAAATACGGGCTCCGTTTCTTCCACTGTCCTAGCTCTTTTATATAAACTGTTGTCTGTTCAAGGAAGTTACGTACCATTCGGATGAAACATCTTAGACACAAATCTGACAGTAGGTGGCTTGTTTGGATATTCTTCCGTGAATTCTATGGTAAGCTTGAAAGTTCCTATAATTGAGAAAGGGGAGGGGGGGCAGAGTTTAATGACATCATATTCACAGGTAGGTTTAAATTGTCCCTGCCTTTATCAGCTCCATAATCAATCAGAAAACTCCCAGCAATTCCCTTGCAAAGGAAGAGGATCTGCAACCGGGCAGATAGAAAGACAGGCTGTGAAATTGGCAGTCATTGTTTAAAATTGTCGCACAACCTTTTTACACAAAGAAGAGGACAAACTTCTGCCTTTATAACTGAACTCAGAAGGTAGCAAAGTAGGTATAAGGCCAAAAGGGAAGGATGCTTTTTAAAAACATGCATATGGGTCTAAATGCAGCAAGGCAAGGTTAAAGGTGGTGCCATAAAGGTGGTTTTTTCAAAGGATCTGAATTAAAAATTATTAATACCTTCAAGTAAGATCTAAAAAACCATAATAGAATAGAACAGAATAATTCTTTTTATTGGCCAAGTGTGACTGGACACACAAGGAGTTTATCTTGGTGCATAAGCTCTCAATGAACATAAAAGAAAAGATACGTTTATCAAGAATCATAAGGTACAACATTAATGATAGTCATAGGGTACAAATAAGCAATCAGGAACAATATTAATATAAATCGTAAGGATACCAGCAAGAAAGTTGCAGTCATACAGTCATAAGTGGAAGGAGATGAGTGGTGGTAAGCGTTGTATTGTAAGCATAAGCAACAACAACAGTAGAATCATTTTCAGTAGAGAGCCTAGTTTGGTCTAGCAGTTAAGGCACCAGGCTAGAAACCAGGAGGCAGTGAGTTCAAGTCCCGCCTTAGCCATGAAAGCAGGCTGTATCACTTTGGACCAATCACCAAGAGACCGTGAGTTTGAGTCCCGCCTTAAGCCATGAAAGCCAACTGGGTGACCTTGGGTCAGTGACTCTCTCTCCTAGCCTACCTCACAGGGACGTGGTGAGGAAAATAGTAGGAAGGTGTGTTTGCATAGGTTCACCGCCTTGACTTACTTGTAAAAATAATAATGGTGGAATACAAATAAATAAAATAATCGAAAGGACGCGGATGGCCTTTGAACCGTTACCACGCTGATAACCAAGGAACCAAAGCCACCTCAGCAGCCAAGTTTTGGGAGGGAAGGCGAAGGGTATTAAGGATTTTTAAGTTCAACCCGGAGGAGAATGGAATCTTATCAGAATGGAGAATGATTTTTTTCAAAAGTCTTCAAAAGGGAAGAGCACAGAGGTAGTTCACACTCATTGGGGTCAATCAATCAATCCAAGAAATTGAGAGCAGCAGTGTCACACGACGCTGAGAGAGAGAACTCGGGTGTAGGTATCTCTGTATACGGTCTCTTAAGATAGTTTCAATAAAGACTTACCATCCTCAAATGGGGTTCCCTCTGGCCTGAAAAAAGAAAAGTATTGTCAAGATCTCACAGGTCACAGATTACACTTAGAGGAGTCAGCTTTTTAAAAAAGAACACGATGCGTTCCCTCCATTTCCCAAAACGGATTCAAATGGAGCTCAATTCAAAGGTTTTAGCTGAGGAATCAAACCTAAGCAACATCGTTGAGGTGCAACCACTATGAGGCCAGCTATTTATTTTCAATATTTGGGGGGGGGGGAGTGTTCTATCTCTCATCCCAGTCATCCCTGATCTTGATGTTGGAGCTAAAGCTCCAGGCATGGGGCTTCCATGGCATTAGCTCTTAGAAGTTCAGAGGATCTTTGGTTGCCCTCTCCCCTCTTTGGAAAAGCTTTATAGCTCCCGCTGCCTTAAGAAAGTTCAAAACATGCTTAAAGATCCTGGGCACCCTTTTTTGAACTATTACCATCTCGAAGACGGTACAGAACAATTAAAAGCAAGGACAAGTAGGGTGAAAAACAGCTTCTATCCCAGGGCAGTGACCATATTGAATTCTACTGTATAGTGCAATATTAATTCAATATCAGGGGTTTTCAATTCAATTGTATATAATTGTGAAGGATGTGTGTTTGTTTTATTTTTTTAATGTATAATGTACACTGAAGATGGCATTTAATTTTGTTGTACGAGGTGCAATGACAATAAAGTCAACTAACTAACTATCTGAATAGCAATAATCAGCTTTGCCTGTCTTCCCTTCTATATGCTAGCAGGCTGCTAGGAGTCATGAAAAGAGATGATCAGACTGTTAACCACTCAGCTGGAGCAATCACCATCCCCCACCAATGGGATGTAGGGATCTGAACACCTTCCTCTGAAGAAGCCCACACAAATGCTTGTGAGAATCCTGAATCTTTGCAAGATGTGAGCCAACTTCAAAGCTGTATCAATACTGAGCATAAGGTATGTCACAGCTACGGTGCAGTGACCCATGTCCCAAGGAGCCTTGTCCTAAAGGCTCATAGAAGAGGAGGCAGACGCAGAGTGAAGAAAGGAAAAGCGTGCACAAAAGCAATGGCTACATCCTCAGATACCCTAGAAAAGCACGCACTGCAATTGCTACTGTGTCAGTGGCTAAGATGCTGAGCTTGTCGATCAAAAGGTCGGCAGTTCAGCGGTTCGAATCCCTAGCACCGCATAACGGGGTGAGCTCCCGTGACTTGTCCCAGATTCTGCCAACCTAGCAGTTCAAAAGCATGTAAAAAATGCAAGTAGAAAAATAGGGACCACCTTTGGTGGGAAGGGAACAGTGTTCCGTGCGCCTTTGGCGTTGAATCACGCCAGCCACATGACCACGGAGACGTCTTCGGACAGCGCTGGCTCTTCGGCTTTGAAACGGAGATGAGCATTGCCCCCTAGAGTCGGGAACGACTAGCACATACGTGCGAGGGGAACCTTTACCTTTACCTTTTACAGGTACCCTAGAAAAGCACGAACTCAGGTACTCTAGAAAAGCACAACCATCCTAAAATAGCATTTGCCTATTCAAACACTGGGACTCTCTGGACAGGCTGCAATCATCAATCCTGAGAAATCTTCAACTGCAATGGACAAAGGCTTGGAACCCCAACCTATCTAGAGGTCAAACAGGAGAAAGCTTTCTTGGAGCTCACTTGGAGCCAACACAACACAGCAAAGGAGGAAAGTGAATCGGCTCCGATTCCGAGACAATTCGAAAAAAGGGAATGTCACCCACACTATATAATTAATCCATGCTATCAAAACAGGTCACACCTGCCAGGGTAACCATTACTGTAAAAGAATGAACTAAAATCCATCGATTGATTAAGATTTCCACTTGGAATACCAGTTAGGGCAAGGATCACAACCATAAAGCTTGACACCAGCCAAGTAGAGCTGGTTTCCTCGTGATCATTTGCAGTTTCAGGAGGTGGGGTGTGTGTGTGCTGTGCAATACCCTCTTTGGAAAATTTTGGAGCAGGTATAATAAAACACAGACAAGGAAAGACGCTCGTGGGGCCATTTGGGGCAGGAGAGAAAAGGAATCCACGCTGGAGATTTGAGGCAGGGATCACTCTTCCCTGCCTATCAATCTTGGATTAGATAAGCAATCAAATGAGAGAATTTGGAGGAATTTCTTTTCAGAGTGCACCAAAGCCACCGAGATGCCACCGCTAGCCACGGACTTACTTTTTTTTTTTTTTTTGGCCTATTTTACAAAATATTTATAAATGTAGGAAAGCTTTCCAAGCCAGTCTTTATTCATTCCAGTGGCCTGATGTTCTTTCAAGAGACCAAGGAACTGGTTGTCAGAATAACAATAATAATGATTATTTTTTTAATTAAAATAACTCCAGCCACCACTAATGGCAGTTTCTGAACACACACCCTGCCATTCTACCTCACCAGAATATGCTATTATTTCTAAAAGAAAGCAACTGCCAGCCCTATCTGGACGTGTCCTATTATGTTACCATCAATTACAATTATTTCTGCCTTTGCAAATCTCGCTCCTGGAAGTGAGCAATACACTATGGACCTGAAGTGGGCGTCTATCGAACAAGCTGGTTTTTGAATGAAGGGAAATACAATTCAATACATCTGGGGGAGGGAAAAAAAAAACAACAACAGCCAGTGGAATGACTAGACTATTATCACAGAGAAGTAAAAACTGGGCCACGAGAACGATATTCCCACTGATGAAAGCACAGAGTTAAAAACATCTGATAAGTGATAAGGAAAGTAATTAGAATGATTATTATCTGAATATAGAGGAAGGAAAGCTGGGCTCCTCTGAATGTCCTAGATTCTCAAATTCTATCAGCTCTGGCCAACTTAACAGCAGGAGGCTATGAAAGAGCACCATGCTTTTGTAGATCATAATCATCTTATGTTCTTAACCTGCCCCAACATGGTAATGGACTGAAGCCCTGCACTTCCCTTCATGCTAGACCAAACAGCCATGGTATACTGGCTAGAATAGCAACACAAGAGATCCCACCAGGAAAAGGGATCTATGTAAAAAAGGAATCTAGGATCCTCCGAACGTATTTTTTTTTACAGCTCTCACCCACCACAGCCCTTGGAATAACAAACCACTCGATTTCTCCTGCTAACCCAGGGGAGAGATGGATGATTGTAGAATCCTGCAGCAACCCTCACAAATGGCTGTCTGGCTTCCCTCTTGAAAGGGTTGGGAGGAGGAGAACCCATCCTTTTTGTAAGAAATTAAGTTCATACAAATCAACTGCACTTATTTTGAGGGGAGGGGTCTTTTAGCTTTTAAAAAAAAGACAATGAAGGGGAATATTTGTAGCTGAGGGTTGAAATGAAGGGTCCTTGGTGCTCTCTGAGCTTGCTTGTTTTCTTGCAGGCATTTCATGACCCAGCTGGGTAACATCATCAGTGCTGAAAGAGGGTGGGCTTTAGGGGGAGGAGAAGGAGGATTACTGTGGGGTCCTTGGTGGTCTCTGAGCTTGCTTGTTTTCTTGCAGGCGTTTCATGATCCAACTCGGTAACATCATCAGTGCTAGAAGGGAGAGGGGTGTGCAGAGAGGAGGAGGAGGACTGTGCTCTCTGACCTTGGTTGTTTTCTTGCAAGACGGTTCATTAAACTAGGAAACTGCTGATGTAGCATCAATGTTTTGGATCATGAAACGCCTGCAAGAAAACAACCCAGCTCAGAGGACCACCAAGTACCCCCGTAGTCCTTTTTCTCCTCCTCTCTGCACACACACACACACACCCCTCTCCTTTCGACATTGCCTAGCTGGGTCATGAAACGCCTGCAAGAAAACAACCCAGCTCAAGAGAGCACCAAGCATCCCCCTTTAAAAACAAAAACAAAAAAAAACAAACTAAAGCATTCAAAGCCACCTTTTCCTGAAGATTCAAACCAGGTTTCCCTCCCTCCTTCCCTTTTCCCCTGGCAGAACAGAAATGAGGGGTGGGGTGGGGGGGTTTCCAGCCTCCTTCAGCCTATCGATCCATCCTCCGGGAGACAGGGCAGGGCTGCCTTTTTTGCAAGGCTAAACCCCCACCCCACCCCACCCATTTCCACTTCCACTGCAGAACTAGTCTTGGGGGGGACAGGAGCAGAATTAAACCCCTGGGCCAGCCATTCCCAGCCCTTTAGGTGGCAAATCTGGCATCTATCTATCTATCTATCTAATCTATCTATCTATCATCTCTCTATCATCTCTATCTATCTCATCTATCTAATCTCTCTCATCTCTATCTAATCTATCTAATCTACCTATCTAATCTCTCTCTCTCATCTCATCTCAATCTATCTAATCTATCAATCTAATCTCTCTCTCATCTCTATCTCTCATCTCTCTCATCTCTATCTAATCTCTCTCATCTCTATCAGTCTCTCTCATCTCTATCTATCTATCTATCTATCTCAATCTATCATTCTCTCTCTCTCTCTCATCTCTATCTGTCTATCTATCTATCTATCTATCTATCTATCTAATCTCTCTCTCTCTCTCTCCTATCTATCTATCTATCTATCTATCTATCTATCTATCTATCTATCTATCTAATCTCTCTCTCTCTCTCTCTCATATCTATCTATCTATCTATCTATCTATCTATTTTTAAACCAGCCCATTTGCATTTTTGGAAAACCAAGGTAGGGGTGTGTGTGTTTGCATGTGAGTGCAAGGAGGAGGGGAGGAATCTTCCAGGAAACGCTCCCTTGTTCCTCCTGGAAATGGGGAGCAGAGATGCGGGGTGCAAAAAAAAAAAGGGGGGGGGGAAGAGGGCTTGCAACCTGGGGGGGGGGGGAAGGAGGAAGAGGAAGAGGAGGAGGAGGAGGGGGAAGGCTCACCCAAAGATGACGGCATTCCACACCATGATGTTGTTCTCCGAGGGGGCTCCGCTCACTCCGGCCGGGGGATCCTCCTGTAGCCTGTTTTTTGGGGTGGGAGGGAGGGGGAAAAAAAAGCAGGCAAGGAAAGGGTTAAAAAAAAACACCAGCTGGGAGGCAGGAACGGGCGAGGCAAGCAGGCGGGTGGGGGGGGTATTTCGCTCCGCCTGCGCCAACGGCGTAACTCGCCCTAATCTCCACGGCCGCTACGCTAGTAGCGTAGCGCTCCCATCCTCCGCCGCCATGTTGGATCGCCTCACCTCTTTCCCTCCGAGGCGCTCTCCTTTTACCCCCCCCTCCCCTCACCGCCGCCCCCTCCCCCCCCACCTCCACTCCCTTCCCTCAGCGGCTCTTTTTACCTCTTGAAGTCCCGCATGAGGCGCCTCCGGGCCGGCGTGGACATGGCGGGGGACGACGGCTCGCGGTTATGAATCCCTCATACACCAGCGGGGAGAGGAGAAGGGAGGGGGGGGACTCGCGGCGGCGGCGGCGGCGGCTGGGTTCCGAGCGGAGGCGGCCTCTTCCACTTGTGCCTCAACAATGGGGGGGGGAGAGGACGAGGAAAGAGGCCCTTGACGACGCGGTGGTGGGTGAGTGGTAGCGCCGGCCGAGGCTGCTTGGGCAATGCCGGACCGTACCACTGTACTTGCGGAGTGGGGGTGTGTGTGTGTGTGAGGTGGAAAGGGAAAGAGTGAGAAATTGAGAAAACAGAAAAGGGGCGGCGCTACGCGCGCAGCCGCCGACTCACGCCGGGCGGGGACGTACCACCTGCGCCCGCGCGCGGAGGGGCGGGGAGAAGAAAGGGGAGGCGTTTCGAAAAGCAAGGGCGAGACCAATTCAGGATGACGCTTTTGAGTCCGAGCGTTCTGGGCGAGACTAATGCGAGGAGGGGGAAAACAAAAAACAAAAAAAAGCAGGGGGGGGAGATTAATGGGAGGAACCATTTTCTTGCCCGTTCGGTTGCATTTCTCCCCCCCCCTTTCTCCCCTCAGTCTTTTCTATTGGCTGGTAGGATCAGCTGTCCCTCCCCCCCCCACCCGCTTGTGGGCGGAGCGTTAATTTGAAAGCTATACGGTCAGGACGTTGGTGTCACACCAAAATAAGTCCCCCCGGGCTCAGTGACTCAAAACAATGGTTGAATTACACGTCACACACCATCCTGCAATGGGTTTTTGGCATGGGCTTCTGTATGTCAATGCAGTTTGCCATCCCTTGATGAAAGCAGGGTTAAGTTTGGCAATTTAAGATGTGTGGGCTTCCCCATCCCAGAATTCCACAGAATATGTAACAGTAACAGTTGGAAGGGATCTTGGAGGTCATCTAGTCCAACCCCCTACTCACGCAGACCTGTACTAGGGATTCGAACCGCCAAACTGCCGACATTTCTCATCAATAAGCTCAGTGTCTTAGCCACTGAGCCACCTAGTCAGGCTAAACTAGAATAGAATAGAATAGAATAGAATAGAATAGAATAGAATAGAATAGAATAGAATAGAATAGAATAGAATAGAATAGAATAGAATAGAATAGCCTTTATTGTCATTGTACATCATCTATACAACGAAATTGGTTTTAGCCTCACTGGTGCAATCCATGACAAAAAATACAAACAACATATATAGTATAAAGAATAATCCCTATGCAAGTAATTAGGGGGGGAAAAAAGAAAAAGAAAAACTAGTCATACGTTTCCACGTGTGCATGGAGTGATTGTGATTGTGTTTAAGAGTCTGACAGCCCAAGGATAGAAACTTTTTAAACCCGATGGTAGAAGTGTGAAGAGACACTGACCAGGGTGTGAATCATCTCGGAGTGTCTTCCTTAGTCTGCTAAAGCAGCGAGACCTGGCGATGTCATCCAGTGGCGTTAAAGGGCAACCATTGGTTTCTTGTGCTGAATTGATCACTCTCTGTAGTGCCTTCCTGTCCGCAGCGGTTAAACCAGCAAACCATACTGTAATGCAGTATGTGAGGACACTTTCTATCTTGGATAGAATAGAATAGAATAGAATAGAATAGAATAGAATAGAATAGAATAGAATAGAATAGAATAGAATAGAATAGAATAGAATAGAATAGAATAGAATAGAATAGAATAGAATAGAATAGAATAGAATTCTTTATTGGCCAAGTATGATTGGACACACAAGGAATTTGTCTTCGGTGCGTAAGCACTCAGTGTACATAAAAATACATTCATCAAGAATCATAAGGTACAACACTTAGTGATAGTCATAGGATACTAAATAAGCAATCCATAATGCAGGCTGACTGGGAAATTATGGGAGTTGAAGTCCACACATCTTAAAAGTTACCATGGTTGAAAAACACTGGATTAAAGCAATACAGTATGTGAACTAGCCACATAATAGTAGATTAATCTCCCAATAGTGGTTAAGAAAAAGTGTTATTGAACAGGTTGTGTGAACCCAACCTTTGTTTAGGTACTTAATTGGTTTTGATCTTCTTTTATCACTTGCCTCCTGAAGAACAGTTCTGAAGCTATCAATCCTTTTATATCTTCAATGCTTCTCTATTAATGTAGTGGCTTCTTGAGCAGCTAAGGACAGCATCTATTAAATCTCTTATTTCCTACATGCTTCTCGACTTTTATTTTTGCAACACTTTATATTCACCCACACAACCTTCTCCAATCTGTTGTGGTTTTTCTGGTGGATTAAAACATTGGGTAAACTCAGTTTTTGGTGCAAAGTATTGTGTCCATTCCTGAAATGAATAATGTAGGTTAAGTACATTATGAAGATTTAAACCCACAATTCTAAGATGAAGCCTCATTACTGAAGAATCCAAACAAATGGAAGATAAGTATCTATGCAGAAACAGAGAAATTTGGAGTGATAAAAGACATCCCCTTCTGTGTCTAAAAACAGTCAAGACCGTTGCTGGGCCAAGATACAATTCGCACTGTCGCTCTTAATGATCATTTTGAGCATAGATGAGAGACATGCATGTTGGTCCGTGTTAATGATTCAAGATATGTTCAGTGCTGCAGCCTGGCCACCAGCAAGGAGTGGGAACATATCATCCAAAAACTGGTTTTTTCCTGTAGACTTTTGGCCACCTAATGAGAAGGAAGGACTCCCTGGAGAAGAGCCTAATGCTGGGAATGATTGAGGGAAAAAGAAGAATGGGACGGCAGAGAATGAAGTGGCTGGATGGAGTCACTGAAGCAGTCGGCGGGAGCTTAAATGGTCTCCGGGGGATGGTAGAGGACAGAAAGGCCTGGAGGAACGTGGTCCATGGGGTCGTGATGGGTCGGACACAACTTCGCAACTAACAACAAGACTTAAAAAGAAAAAAGAATCAACGGGCCTCCCGAATTACCATCGAACACTTTCATTTGGAAAACAGTGGGTAGCTTTATTCAATTACCAAGGGAGTCAAAATCCTTTGCTGTCTTAAATTTACAGTCTTCCATCTCAGGCGAACATTCTCCCTTCAGAAGTGCTACAGGCTGCTCAGGACCTCAACTCCCAGGTCTACGGAAAATTCTCAATCATCCAGGTCACCGTCATCCCAAAGGTGCTTTTTCCAAAAGTGTTATGGAATGATGAGACCAAACAACATTCCTGGTCAGCCAGAGACAGTTTATTGCGCAGTTTCAGAATCAGATTTGTATCTGCAATTCTGAACCCAAAAGAGCTCTGATACAACTGCTTTTATACATATCCAAGACAAAGGATTTTGTGAGCACAGCAGTTTTCCATATATGGTTAACATACATTTGTTACATGATAATTGATACTTTCTAAATTACTAAATTCCTACATTATTTTCTAGTTCGTAAGATTATTTTAGCTAAACAACCTTCCTCAGTTCTGTGATTGCTGATGCGTAGATTCGTGGCTGCTTTGGAGAATAAGTAACTTTTGTTTCATATGGATATCCTTGCATTTTTGACAACTAGGCCCTTCAGAAGATATATATTACCAAGAATGGAATTTAGCTGACATAGTGTAATCTCTAAAACAAGCACATTTCTTTCTTATAATAATGTGAATAAAGAGGGTCCTTCAGTGTTCATATAGCTGACCCTGTACTATTCCTACATCATTCACATTAAAAGGGCAACTCGGGTTTTTTTTGAAGTTGCTTTTTTGGGGGGGGGACATCCACTCCCATGGTTCCCAGCCAAAACCCTTTTAAGGAAGAAGCCATCTTCTTGGAGCAAAACGAGATTAGCCAACGATAGTAGGGAATCACGACATAGTTATAATCCCTTAGTACAGTTGTTGGGAGTAGATGATCTCCAAAATCCCTTCCAACTCTGTCACTGTTACTGAAATGTTACTGACGGGGGGCGCATCTCGGTGGTGGGAAGTGGGCGCTTCGGGGGTCCCGAAACTTCGCTTCTTACGCCCCTCCGAAGAAGCCGCGCCTGCCTTCTGCGCGCTCCCTCTTTGCGCGCTCCAACCGGCCGAGCCGAGCGGGCGGAGCCGGGGAAGGAGAGCGAGGAAGGGGTTGGCTCTGCCGGCTTGCAAATTCCAGCCCCCGGCGGGTCCAAGGCGGAGCCGACCCCGTTGCAAGCAGGCGGGGAAGCGCCTTGGAGAGGCGGAGCGCATCCGATCGCCCTGCGCCGCCATGCCCAAAGTGGTCTCCCGTTCCGTGGTCTGCTCCGACACGCGCGACCGGGAGGAATACGACGATGGCGAGAAGCCGCTCCACGTCTATTACTGCCTCTGCGGACAGATGGTGCTGGTCTTGGGTGAGCCAAGCAAGGGATCCCCCACCCACCCACCCATCCCCGCCTCTCCTGCCCTCCGCTCGGCCAGGGCGCAGAGCGGTCCCCCGGCCCCTCTCCAAAACTTTGGCCATTACGCACCGGCTGTTAGAACCGAGCGAGCCGGTTCTGGAATTCCGCGCCGTTGGGGCGCGAGGGTCAGGCTGATGGGAGTTGAAATCCAAACGCTTCAGGTTGGTTCTGAAGCTTACCTGGCCAGGTGTTTTCAGCCCGGTGGTTCTGCTGGGGGATGATGGGAGTTGCAGTCTTCTAGATGTGTGTGTGTGGGGGGGGCTGTTTTCCCCAAGGCCGGCAAATAACAGCCAGCCTCCTGAGCTGATTTGGGGGTGAGCATGGGGTGCGGTGGGGGGACGTTTTACTTTTTACTCTACTTTTATTTGATTTATATACCGCCCTACTCCCGAAGGACTCAGGGCGGTGAACAGCCAACAATAAAATACATACATACAAAATTTAAAAAGCAGAAATAAAATCGAATTAAAATAGTTTGGCCCAGACAGATTAAAAACCCCAATCAATTTAAAACAAATTAAACTTTGAATATTAAAAATATTAAAAATTATTTAAAAAGAGGGAGAAAGTTAGTCCAGGCCCGCCTGGTGAAATAAAAAGGTCTTAAGAGCGCGGCGGAAGGTGCGCAGATCCGGGATCCTCCGTATCTCCGGGGGGAGCTCGTTCCAGATAGTAGGTGCCCCCACAGAGAAGGCTCTCCCCCTGGGGGCCGCTAGTCGACATTGTTTAGCTGACGGCACCCGGAGGAGCCCCTGTCTATGGGAGCATACTGGCCGGTGGGAGGCTATTGGTGGTAGTAGGCGGTCCCGCAAGTACCCAAGTCCTAAGCCATGGAGCGCTTTAAAGGTGGTGACCAAAACCTTGAAGCGCACCCGGAAGACCACCGGGAGCCAGTGCAGCTCGCGCAGGAGGGGTGTTACATGGGAACGCCATGTCGCTCCCATTACCACCCGCGCGGCCGCACTCTGCGCCAGTTAGCGTCTCCGGATGCTCCTCAAGGGGAGCCCCATGTAGAGAGCGTTACAATAGTCCAGGCGGGAGGTGACGAGGGCATGAGTGACCGTGCGTAAGGAGTTTAAACCTAATGCAAGGTATATACCTCCCCAGAGTCTCTTTGGATGGTGAGATGAGCAATTTATGAATTTAATAAAACAAATAAATAAACGTAACCATCCTGATATTGGATGGTTTGGAAAAGAGACCTGAATCAAGAGCTGAGCTGTCCAATGTTTCATTCGTAGGGCTTTGTATTAAGATCTCTCCCTTCTTGTGAATTAGCTCCGTAGTCAACAAATCCTTTGAAAGTTCAAAAACAAGGTTGGCAAATATTGTTCACAGACACACTGCTGCAAGAAAAGTATAATTAAGATCTGTATGATGGCTTCCATGGTAGAATTAGTAGCATCCAAAGTTTGGCGGTTTGATATTTTCTATCGAAGTCTGATTTGATAACTAAAAAACGGGATTGGAATATCGATTTGATGTTGGTTGATGATTGCTTTAGTTTTCTAAGGACCTCCTACAGCTTCGATCGCCAGAGTTGAGATTTATTTTCCCTGAAGGTTTTTTTTTTTTTAATTATTATTATGATTTTTCTTAGATTGCCAACTTGAGAAGCTGCCCATGAGACCCCGGGATCGGGCCAGAGTTATCGATGCGGTCAAACATGCCCACAAATTCTGTAACACAGAAGAAGAGGAAAATGTTTACCTGCGCAGGTAGGAAGGCCTCACAAAGGCCAAATACATATAACTGTATGACTGTAACCTTGTTGCTGGTATCCTTAAGATTTATATTGACTGTTTCCCTATGACTATCATTAAGTGTTGTACCTTATGATTCTTGACGAATGTACCTGTTCTTTTATGTACTCTGAGAGCGTATGCACCAAGACAAATTCCTTGTGTGTCCAATAACACCTGGCCAATAAAGAATTCTATTCTATTCTATTCTGGTTTCAGGTCTATATTCTGTTTAGTTATTTTTTCCAGCCAGCTACATATTTTCTTCCAATATTGGGAAAATACATTGGTTAAAACAATAAATTTATCATCCAGGGTTTATGGCTTCCCAGACTATGTAATCCCAACCAAAAATGACTTCTTTTTTTTTTTTTTTTTGCAACAAACTAAGATTAAGCAAAGTACAGTGCACTTATACCTATTTTTCTTCCCTACCTAGGCCCGAAGGCATTGAACGGCAATACAGGAAAAAATGTGGAAAGTAAGTGATTTGAGAGGAAGTATTCAGAAGATAAGACAGTCAACAAATTTTGTTTCCAGTGATAAAAAGACTATACAGCCTGTGGGGTCCATTGTGATCTGGTGCATGAATGCAGCCAACTTCTCCAAAGTAAAAATTAAATAAATAAATAAATAAGGGGATCTAAATCCCGTGTGATATAGTGGTTAAGATGTCATCCAGAAGACCCTAATGCAAACTTCTTTGCATCCCCAGTTGAGTATCTTCTCGTAAATTGGGGCTACTGGCTGTTAGGGGTTGGAATCCAATTTAACAAATAGGCCCAGATTAGCGAAGGGTCAAATGATTGCAATTTATGTCATTCTGAGGCTTAATGTAGCTGGTAAAGTGAGCTATCAAATTTAGGGAGACTGTTTATTCTTCTTCTTGTGCCATATCCGTCATCGGATCATGTTGGCAGTCCTATTTTTGTCAACAGCCACATGAAAAAGTGCTGCTGAGTTTTGTCCAAACCAGTCCCTTAGATTTTGAAGCCATGATGTTCCTCTCCCTGGACCTCATTTGCCTTCAATCTTTCCCCAGAGGATTGAGTGAAGTATGCCGTATTTTGGCCATCCCGTGTCCAAAATATTCTACCTTTTGCTTTTTAATGGCATCACGTGTCCAAAATATTCTACCTTTTGCTTTTTAATGGCATCACGTGTCCAAAATATTCTAACGTTTGCTTTTTAATGGCTTTGATGATTTCCCTTTGCTTTCCCAGGCAGCTTATCCCCTCCTCATTTGTGATTTTGTTAACCCATCTTATATGTAACAGCCGCCTGTAAATCCACATTTCAAATGCTTCTAGTTTCTTCAAGTGCTTTTCTGTCAGAGACCAACTCCCCACTCCGTAGAGCAGGATAGAAAAGATGTAACATCTGACAAGCATCTGATTTTTCAATCTTAAGCTGATGTCGTGACTGCAGAAAAGACCTTTTTCGTTTTGAAGAATGCTGTTCGAGCTTTCTCTATCCTTGTCTTTACTTCACTGATCATGTCCCAGCTTTCACGTAAATTAAAACCGAGGTACGTGATCCGGTTTATTAGAGGTAGGAAATAAAACAAGCGGTCACTTCCTTTTCAGGTGTGGCCTACTCCTTTTCTACCAACACCAGCAGAAGAATGCTCCAGTGACGTTCATTGTTGATGGAGCCGTGGTCAAATTTGGACAAGGCTTTGGAAAGACCAACATCTACACCCAGAAGCAAGAACCCCCTAAGAAGGTAGAGAGACAGAGGGCTTCACTTGTGGTGTGTGGAGAGGAGATCAGGTAGGCAAGATGCCTTGAGCTGCCAACCGATGTGGAGTCTCAACATGTCTTCTGACTGGCTTTCTCAGCTCCCTGGTGGCATCGGCTTCACCTGATCTCACAAAGCTCCCCTTACTCCAGGAAGCCCTGAAATAATTTGGTCGTGAGAGCAAGAGGTTGTGTGGCTTCTCTTCATTTTTAAAAAAATTTGTTATCCAGTTAACCTGCTCTTATCGGAGGACGCAATCTTCCATTCAATTTCCTTTTCTCGGGCCCAAGAGCATAACTCCATAAGCCTCAGTTCATCAAATCCACCTCAATCACCAGCCAAACGTTTTTTTTAAAGCACAATATTGGGGGATGAGGGCCACAAATTAGCAGAACGATAAATCTTGAGGTCTTGGAAGTAAGTGGGTGTTTTTCCCTCCCTGCTTTCCTGATTTTGCACTAAAAAAATAGAATCCGTTTTAAATCTGCTAAATATCTTTAGCTTCCTAAAGGAATCTGGGACACAGCTGCCCCAGCTCATTTAGTGGCACAACACTTAAGGAATTCTACAAGTTGTAAAGAAAAAAAAGGGGGGGTTGGACATCTGTACACAACTGTTTCGGGGACATGGTGGCTCAGTGGCTAAGACAATGAGCTTGATGAGAAGGGTCAGCAGTTCGGCAGTTCAAATCCCTAGTGCCTCTGCGTAACGGGGTGAGCTCCCATGACTTGTCCCGGCTTCTGCCAACCTAGCAGTTTGAAAGCACGTAAAAGATGCAAGTAGAAAAATAGGGACCACCTTTGGTGGGAAGGGAACAGCGTTCCGTGCGCCTTCGGCATTTAGTCATGCCAGCCAAATGACCATGGAGATGTCTTCGGACAGCGCTGGCTCTTCGGCTTAGAAACAGAGATAAGTACTGCCCCCTAGAGTCAGGAACGACTAGCACATATGTGCGAGGGGAACCTTTACCTTTTACCTTTACACAACTGTTGATTGATCTGGAAGTTACAGTCCCTGTTCTGAGACCCCCAAAACATGAGGTATAGAACGGATCTGCCTTTCATGTCTTAGTATTAAATTTCAGAACAGCCTTTTTCAGATCTGTGAAGGATACCATAGTCATCTTTTACATTTGCTAATCTGCAAGCTTCAACCACACATAATATTCTTTTTTTTAAAAAAAAAATTATCTCCTTCCAAGGTGATGATGACCAAACGGACGAAGGACATGGGCAAGTTCAGCTCAGTGACGGTCTCCACCATTGATGAAGAAGAAGAAGAGATTGAAGCGGTAAGGTCTTCCATATATGTCAAAAGCAAGCAACCATAGCTTCTCAAGTATACCAAAAAGGCGGCAATCTTATTGTTTGCCACACATGTTACAAGATTCTCTCCAGACACCTTGCCTTCCCCTGGCAATGACCGGATAAAGCTTTGTGGATCTTGAGGGAGGTCAAGCTTATGCTACTTACAGCTATGCAAGGACTCCAAGCTAGGTCCTTCCTTGACCCCTCCTTCCAGCCTAGCTGGCAGTTTCCCATCAAGTTTCTTGAGGGCGACAGGGGAGATTTAGTTGATCTACTGGTAGATATTTGAAGCCAAGGATTTAGTCAGTGGCTTCTGGTCATTATGATACCTCTTCCTTCCATAGATTCTAATCTTTTATACTTTCTCTCTTTTTCTTAAAAAGATACCAGAGTAATGTCTAGTAACCAAAGAAATTACTATAATAAATCCTTGTCCAACACAATGGGCAATTTGAGATGAGTCACATTGGTTCATGCATCACATTACAGCACTGTATGCTTAATCATGGTTTACGTGGTAATTTTTATTGACTAAACAACCGACTAAGTTCATATGAAAACCTAAGCTATAAACCCTAGTTCACACATCATGGTGGTTAGATTTATGATGATGACACCAGTTACATAATTATGCCAATTGGTGTCAATTGACACAAATGACATTAATTGCATCATTTGGATTTAACGGACCTTTGTGTTTTATGGACAGTTGGATTTAACAGACATTGCCTATAAGAGGCTTACTCCTATGTGGTCTATAAAATCGAGCTATTTATTTTTCATTCTAGCCTGTTTTTGATGTGTTTCTTTTCTGCTGACGCTACCATCATGTAGCCTTAATCCCTTCTTATGGAATATTTTTCAGCGAGAAATTGCTGATTCATATGCCCAAAATGCCAAAGTGATTGAGAAGCAGCTGGAAAGGAAAGGCATGAGCAAGAGAAGGCTGCAGGAACTGGTGAGTGGCTATTTTTCATTCCTTCTCATTTCTGCACTTTCTGTACAGTTCAGCGGTTCGAATCCCTAGTGCCGCGTAACAGGGTGAGCTCCCGTTACTTGTCCCAGCTTCTGCCAACCTAGCAGTTCAAAAGCAGGTAAAAAAAAATGCAAGTAGAAAAATAAGGACCACCTTTGGTGGGAAGGTAGCAGCGTTTCGTGTGCCTTTGGCATTGAGTCATGCCGGCCACATGACCACGGAGACGTCTTCAGACAGCGCTGGCTCTTTGGCTATCAGGTGCTATTCTCCAAAGCACCTGAGGGCAGGACAAGAAGCAATGGGTGGAAACGAATCAAGGAGAGAAGCAACTTAGAACTAAGGAGAAATTTCCTGATAGTGAGGACAATCAACCAGTGGAACAACTTGCCTCCAGAAGTTGTGAATGCTCCAACACTGGAAGTTTTTAAGAAGATGTTGGATAACCATTTGTCTGAAGTGGTGTAGGGTTTCCTGCCTAAGCAAGAGGTTGGACTAGAAGACCTCCAAGGTCCCTTCCAACTCTGTTATACTATTCTATTCCTTTAATGCTTGCTTTTCCGTTTTGTTTTTTAATTTGACCAGGCCGAGCTGGAAGCCAAGAAGGCCAAAATGAAAGGGACGCTTATCGACAATCAGTTCAAGTAAGAAGTTTCTCCAAAAGAAGAGAAGCAACCCAACACATTCTTTTGTTTCCTTTCTGGTTTGTCCCAAGGAATTTGGCCGCACTCATGAAAACGGCAGTGAACGGTGGCAACCTGGCAAACGGAAACTATCTGTTTCTGTTCTGCTTTATTTCTAATGTATTTGCCTGTAATTTCTTCTGAGGCTTTACCTTCTCGAGGTTCTGAGAATTTCGATTTCTGTAATTTGCTGTATATTCTGTTTTGCAAAACGTTGTAAAATGTGTGAGGAGAACTGCAGAGTTTTGGGGGGGCGGGGTTAGTTATTTGTATATTTTCATATGTACATAGAATTCTAGTGAGCCAGAAACCAATAAAAATATTAAACATTTGGTAAACAATTAGTTTCGTGTGACTGTCATTTCTTTGTCCACTGGAATTCGTTATGTAGACTCATTAGATCTATCGTATGATTGTCTAACCTGGAAGCTAAGCAGGGTCAGGCCTGGGTACAATCTGAATGGGAGGTCTCTTGGGCGTAGCAAAACAGTATAGGTGTCCGACCTGCCACAACTTAAACCTCTTAGTAGATATGGAATGTAAAGGAATGTTTCAAAAATGTCAAATGTTAAACAGATCATGGCTTAGCGTGATAGGTATGAACCCAGCATAACATGCATTCAAAGTGATTTTTATTTCAACTCTTATTTCTCTTTCCCTTCATGGGTTATTTTATGCTGTTTCTGTTTACACCCTGAGGTAACCCGGGAAAAATTCAAGTGAAATGACCAAGCATTAAACTCGGGTGCCAAAAATACACATTAGAGGTTTTTTTCTTTTTTCAAATGACATGAAGATCAATCATTTAGTTGTTGTTGAGTGAATCGTTGAAGTTATTAAATGAATCACACAATTGTTAAAGGAATCCAGCTTCTGCCATTGACTTTCCTGGTCAGAAGCTGGCTGGGAAGTTCACAAGCCGTGATCACAGGACTCAAGGATGCTGCAACCGTTGTTGCTTGAGAAACATCTGAATTTTGATCGTGCGACCTTGGAGATGTGGTGTACAAGGACCAGTTACAAGGCACTTTTTCAGTGCTGCTGTAAGTCTCTCTCTCTCTCTCCTCCCTCCACTCCCTCCCTCCATTCTTCTCTCTCCTCCTCTCCCTCCCTCTTTCTCCCCCTCCCTCCTCTCCCTCCCGCCCTCCATTCTTCTCTCTCTCTCCTCCTTCTCTCTCTCCCTCTATCCTTCTCTCCCTCCCTCTCTCCATTCTTCTCTCCTCCTCTCTCTCCCTCTCTCCCTCCCCCTCCCTCCCTCCTCTCCCTCCCTCCGTCCATTCTTCTCTCTCCTCTCCCTCCCTCTCTCCATTCTTCTCTCTCCTCTCCCCCCTCCCTCTCTCTCTTCCCCTCCCCCTCCCTCCCTCCATTCTTCTCTCTCCTCTCCCTCCCTCTCTTTCTCCCCCTCCCTCCATCCTTCTCTCCCTCCCTCCCTCCATTCTTCTCTCTCCTCCTCTCTCCCTCTATCCTTCTCTCCCTCCCTCTCTCCATTCTTTTCTCCTCTCCTCCTCTCTCCCTCCCCCTCCCTCCATCCTTCTCTCCCTCCCTCCCTCCATCCTTCTCTCTGTCTCCCTCCCTCCATACTCTCCCTCCCTCCTTCCCTCCCTCCATTCTTTTCTCTCTCTCCTTCTCTCTCCTCCCCCCCTCTCTCCCTCCCTCCCTCCCTCTCCCAGGGTTAGCCCTGTCTGATAGGAAGTTGTCCTTTCTTTGGTATCCATTTTTAAAAATACACCGTTTTCATCCCGATGTCTTGCAATAGCAGAGCTTGGCCAGCAGAGGTCTTACAAGTGACACGTGGCTAAACCGAACCCAACCAGTCAAGTTTCTAGCTCTGGTGGAGGTGGGGGGGAAGAGCTCAATTGTCCCCTACAGCCGATCATAGCAAGAAACTAGTTGCTGGTTTAAACACCTTTCCAAAAACAAAACAAAACAAAATCTCATAAGCTAAGTGGGGGTCTAATATATAGAAAGCAATTATAAATCAATCACAATTGATTTATACCCTTAGAATATCCAGGATATTTTTAATATCTCAATAAAGCAAATTGTTAAGTGAATCCCTGCAGTGGGTTTAGTAATACAGAGATAAAGTGAATCTGGCTTCCCCACTGACTTTGATCGTCAAAAGGTCCCAAAAAGGGAATTGTGGTGGGATTCAAATAATTTAACAACCGGTTCTCTGCCCTAATGACCGGCTGGGTGGGCGTGGCCATGGTGGGTGTGGCCAGGGGGTGTGACAGGCAGCACTCAGCCTCCTGCACCCCCCCTGGGAGCAAAAACGGGCCGTGGGGGGGCCACCCCGCCACCCCGCCCCTCATTTTGGGCCTAGTAGGCCTCCCTGTACTTACCTGGGAGCCAAAATGGGGCATGTGGGGACTCCTGGAAGGGGCGGGGCCAGCCAACAATTTAACTACCGGTTCGCCCGAACCGGCCCAAACCGACTGAATCCCATCACTGCACGTGATCCCCCGAGATACTGCAACCGTCATAAATATGAGTCAGTTGCCAAATGTCTGAATTTTGATCACGTGACCAGGCGGATGCAAACAACGGTCGTAGGTGTGAAAGCTGGTCGTAAGTCCCTTTTTTTCAGCGCCGTTGTAACTTTGAACAGTCACTAAACGAACCGTTGTAAGCCAAGGACTTGCTACAGGTAAGAGAACGATCCAGGTTGGAAGAGTTTACTACTCGGAAGGTCTTCTTAGGAAGCTGGACCGAAGGTGCTTTTCTTTTTTCTTTTTTTTTTTATTTCAAGAGGCAACTGGACTTTCTGGTTTTTCTTTGAAGACGTTTCGCTTCTCCTCCAAGAAGCTTCTTCAGTTCTGGTTGAACTGAAGAAGCTTCTTGGAGGAGAAGCGAAACGTCTTCAAAGAAAAATTAGAAAGTCCAGTTGCCTCCTGAAAAAGCACCTTTGGGACAACCATGACTTGGATGATGGAGAATCTCCACAGACGTTTAGCTATACAATTTGAGATGAACCCCCTTTGAATGGTGTGGGAGTAGGAATGGATTTCCAGAAGGAAAAATTGCAGACGACAGGAACCATTTCCACTACTCAGGTGACCCTGAGGACACAGATAAACCTCCAAGTGGCCTCAACCACCCTCTAAAAGGATGCAGATGGACCAGCTGTCTGCAAGGAAGATAAATCCTTCCATTCCCCACCATCCGGTCAGAACTGAAGAAGCTTCTTAGAGGAGAAGTGAAACGTCTTCAAAGAAAAAAACCAGAAAGTCCAGTTGCCTCCTGGAAAAAAATGAAAAAGCACCTTGGGACAATCCTGACCTCGGATGACCGAGAATCTCCATAGACTAAAAAAAGCTGGACTTATCTCCTCTTCGTTCTACTTCACAAGTCATTGCAAGACTCAGCCTGTTCAGGCAGAAGTTCTCTGGGCGTGGATGTCACAAGCAAGCTAAGGTGGAGCTTGGCCCAATCAAGCTTTGATGGAAAAAAAAAATACTTCCTGCCTTGACAAATCTCCTTAAAAGGAAATCCAGGAGCTGGAGGGAAGCTGTCTCAGCCACCACTGGCTGACCTTCGATCAGGTGACGATGAAAAGAAGGAGGGAAAAAAATTATGAGAGAAACACCTTTTTTTGATTTCAAGGTCGTTTTTTTAGAAGAAGGGAAGGAACTATATATGCTCCACAAAAATGGATCCCCGCCACGGAGGAATGGCTGCAAAAGCTGATGGAGTTAGCCGAGACGGTTAAATGGACTGTTTCGATCAAAGGAATATATATGTATATATATATATATATATATCTTACTTCTTCGTAGGGTTTATGTGTGTTTTTCCTCTAGCCAGGTTTTTACTACGTAACCAAGGTTTTTCTGCAGCCCCAGCTCAGTAGAATCACATCCACTCCATTCTGGGCTTTTTTCTTTTCTAGCAGGCAGCAAGCTCTTCCTGCTAGGTGGGAGACCTATATAGATCTATTTCCAGCTCGTTTGCTTTCATCAGTAGGCCACACTCACATCTTATGTATCCTCCCTGTAAAGGTATAGTAGCAGCTGGGGCTGCAGAAAAGCCTTGGTTACGTAGGGAAAACCTGGCTAGAGGAAAAACATACATAAACCCTACGGAGAAGTAAGAAAATAGATACTATACCTTTACAGGGAGGATACATAAGATGTGGGTGTGGCCTACTGATGAAAGCAAACGAGCTGGAAATAGATCTATATAGGTCTCCCACCTAGCAGGAAGATATATATGCGCCGCCGTTCTCCAGAGACTCAGGGCGGCTTACAAGTCGTTAAGCAATAGCCTTCATACTTTTGTATATTTATACAAAGTCAGCTTATTGCCCCCCACAATCCGGGTCCTCATCAAGGAGAGAAGCAACCTAGAACTAAGAAGAAATTTCCTGACCATTAGAACAATTAACCAGTGGAACAGCCTGCCTCCAGAAGTTGTGAATGCTCCTAGCACTGGAAGTTTTTAAGAAGATATTGGATAACCATTTGTCTCCAATGGTATAGGATTTCCTGTCTAAGCAGGGGGCTGGACTAGAAGACCTCCAAGGTCCCTTCCAACTCTGTTATTCTATTCTATTCTATTCTATTCTATTCTATTCTATTCTATTCTATTCTCATTTCCATTTCCATTTCCATTTCCATTTCCATTTCCATTTCCATTTCTATTTCTATTTCTATTTCTATTTCTATTCTATGTCCACTGTACTGGACAAAAGGCAATTGAAAACCAGCTCAGCAAATAAGCAGGGATCCTTCCCTGTTGTGTAATGGTCTAGTAGTCCATAAAACACTTTGTCAACCTTATTTTAGTCATGCTGTGACCTATAATCAGGTACACCATTTCGAAACAGGTTGTCCCCCCGCTCTACACACACATACACACACACTGCGTTATCAATCACTCGATCGCAATGACATCAGCCCTAGGTAATGTGACTTTCTTCGCCATTGAACCTGTACAAACTGCCCAAGCGGTGCTAGTGGTTTTGTCACAGGTGTGACGATGGTTCAGGCAGGTGCGCGCGCATTCAGCTTGCCAGACTCTTTGGGCAAAGTGCTTTCCATGTCGTAAGTTTACAACTGCTGGTTTTCCCGGTGAACGCGGATTGGAAGGGGTCATGTTGGACCCTGCCCACCAGTTTGTGAACATCCTAATTCGGTGAATGAACCTTGAACATTAGCTAAGGTGGTGTGTTTTTAATTTTAACCCCTGAAAGCCCAGGAATACAGATATTGTAATCCTCGATTTACAATCTGAACTGGAACCAGTAATTTTCTTTGCTAAGCTAGGCAGTTTATTTATTTATTTATTTATTTATTTATTTATTTATTTATTTATTTATTTATTTATTATATTTCTATATCGC